GCATTCCTGAGGTTTCTCGGGCAGATTCTGGTGGATACAGAAGATATCGGCGTCAGCGAGTAGAATTTAGAGTTCGTGAATCAAACCGGCCGTCTTTGGAGGAGAATGTACATGCCAATGGAAGGGCTCCACAAAACTCCACGAGAAATGGAGCTAGAAAGTTTGTTGTGTCCAACAAATCCCCAAAACAGACACTTGATCCAGATGGCTTAGGTTCTGGTTCAACTGCACCGCTGAAATCTGATGCTGGAAGCGGATCGGAGAATGGAAGTGGAAAAGATGCCTTCATCAGGAATCAGCAGATACCAAATCCTGGACAGACGAACCTTAAAAGGAACCTTTTATCTGAAGAGGACATCGATGCACCTTTGCAGAGCGGAATTGTGCGTGTTTTTGAGCAACCTGGGATTGAAGCTCCTAGTGATGATGATGATTTTATTGAGGTAAGATCAAAAAGGCAAATGCTTAATGATCGTCGTGAACAGAGAGAAAAAGAAAGCAAGGCGAAGTCTCAGGCAACCAAGGTTCTAATGCAATCTAGAGTTTGTACTTCTGTATTTATGATCTGCAATGAGAAGCTTTTACTTAGGTTTGAAAATTTTGCAGGCATCACGAAAATTGCACTCTGCTATGCAAAATACTGCAGCAGCTGACAGGTTCAGAAAAATCCCGTCTGTCAGTGGAACTGCAAACCCTAAGCAGTCTAATCCTGTGACCAACAAACAGCCCCTAGCTCCAATTGGCACTCCTGCCCTTAGAACTGATGCCCATGCTGATGCCAAATCCGGGACCAGCAAGTATTTTCCTTTCTCAGATCAATTCCACCTCGTGGAGTTTGGTTGCAAAGATATGTTTCTCCTTTCCCTTTGTATTTAACCAACTCTATTTCACATATTGTCAGGTCCAGTCAGGCGAGTGCTGCCCTTCCAGTTTTATCCAGGGGTGAACAGAATCCAGTCACAAGTTTTATATTTAATAACAAAAATAAGGTTCTGGATAATATTCAAACATCGGTGGGACCATGGGGTAACCCGCGAAGTGATCAGGTGGTGAGTAGTCTTTTGCTAGAATCGCTAATCAACTCACAATGCGGTGCATGGTAGTTGCAGACTTCTTGCTTGCTTTTCCCATGTCATTTCAAAATTTCCTTTTTAGCCAACATTCCACGCTTTCTTTCTATCTATTTCGAAGAGTGGGCTATTGAGAACATGAAGCTTTTACAGGGGATAGTTCCCGTGAGTATTTTTGAGTGGGAGAAAACAATTACTGCTAAGAAGTTTACATTTATTCTTCTCGTGTTCTACCGATCACAAGGTGGGGACACCTATGAATTATCTGAAGCTTAATTATTTTGACTTGTAGGTCATGGCCCTAACCCAGAGTCAGCTTGACGAGGCCATGAAACCCATATCGTTTGATTCGTGTGTTTCTGCCGAAGATTGTGCCAACTCAATTAGTGAGCCAAGTCCGTCATCAACATCAGTCTTGCTGAAGAACAATGCTTTTCCAACTGGCACAAACCCAATAAATTCATTGCTCGCTGGAGAGAAGATTCAATTTGGTGAGTTGATTGATGATTTCGAGTCCAACACCTAGATTGTCATGTTCTGGCGACTCTCCTTTGCATATAATGATGCAAAATTTGTTTCACTTCAGGTGCAGTTACATCTTCGTCTGTTCTCCCTCCTTCTGGTCGTACTGAGAATGATTGCTCCTTATTTTTGGAGAAGGATAAGCACCTAAATCCATCGTCTGGTCACATGGAAGTTTGTGAAGCGGAAGCGGAAGCGGCTGCTTCAGCAATAGCTGTTGCGGCCATAACTAGTGAAGAAGTTGTTGGGAATACAATGGGTCCTGGTTCTGTCTCAGATGTTGAGACCAAAATTTTTGGTGGGGCCGAGTTAGATGGTGCAGCGGGAAATGGTAGTTTGTTCTGTTCTGGTGTTTTTTGGTGAATTTCATTCAGTGTCTTTCAAGCTTATGCCCAAACGGTTTCTTGCTGTATAATAACACTCTATTGGCTTTTACAGGAGAGCCGCCTAGTCAATTGAAGGCCGAAGAGTCTCTAAGTGTCTCTCTTCCTGCAGATCTTTCTGTGGACACTCCTTCAATCTCCCTGTGGCCACCATTATTACCTAGTCCACACAACTCCTCAAATCAAATGATTGGTCATTTTCCTCCTGGCCCTCCTCATTACCCTTTCTATGATATGAATCCCATGTTACGGGGCCCTATCTTTGCTTTTGGTCCACACGATGAGTCAGGATCGAGCCAATCACAGTCCCAGATAGGTACGGGAGCAGTTTCAGGTCCACCTGTGATGTGGCAGCAGGGTCATTCCAGTGTAGATTCGTTCTATGCTCCTCCTGCTGGGTTTACTGGTCCTTTCCTCACCCCACCTGGTGGGATTCATGGCGTTCAGACCCCTCCGCACATGTTCGTCTATAACCAGTTCGCCCCAGTTGGTCAGTTTGGACAAGTTGGCTTGAGTTTCATGGGTACAACTTACATCCCATCTGGAAAGCAACCAGATTGGAAGCACAACCCGGTATCTTCTGCTCCGGTTGCGGGAGAAAGTGATGCAAAAAATTCAAATGTGGCCTCCATGCAGCGTAATCCTACAGTTGTACCGGCATCTGTTCAGCATCTCTCTCCTGGCTCATCTCTGCTCCGTATGCCATCTCCTCTCGCCATGTTTGATGTCTCCCCTTTCCAGGTATACATCATCATCATCTATTAGCCAAGCATGAGCCTAAAACTGCAATGCATCATCTTAAAATGGCAGAAGTCTCGATGAGATTAAAAGGCCTTAATCATTTGATTGTTTCTGATTCAGTCTTCTCAGGAGTTACCCATTCAAGCTCAGTGGCCTCACATGCCCGGCCCGGCTCTCCAACAAACACCCCCGTCAATGTCACTCCAGCAACAGCAGCAAGCAGAAGGCCCAAATATTCCTTCTCAGTATAACAACTTGGTGATTCCAAATCAACCGGTGGCTCCGAACCGATACCACAACTCCCAGACCTCTGCCATCTCAGATTCCACAGTCTCTCAGTTACCAGATGAACTGGGTTTTGCGGAAACAGCAAACTCTTACCGTTCCAGTGGTCCACCACCACTGCCGAAGGGGACCGAGGCCAACAAACCCAGCAGCAGCAACCCAAGTGGTGGTTCTGGCTTCAGGCCACCGTCACGGTCCTCTCAGCAGAAGAACTCGTCTTCTCAGCATTTCGGTGGCTCATCCTCTGGTTACAACAACCACCAGCGTGGTGGTTCTCAGAGGGGTAATAACGACAATGGCTCGGGGAAAGAATGGCCTCACCACCACCATCACCATCACCACCACCACCGGAGATCAGGCTTCCATGGTAGAAACCAATCCGTGGATGGAGAGAAAGGTTTCTCCAATGCGAAGGTGAAGCAGATATACGTGGCTAAACAGACCGTTAGCAGCTCTGTCTCGGTCTCCAACACTACAGCTGCAACCACTGCTACAACTGCCACAGCCTCATCCTGAACTGATGACAAAAATACTGTTCATCATCATCATCCAGATCTTTGAAAAGAAAAAGCCCCAGGTGTGTTATGATTATCTTTTTTTTTACAGTATCCACTCCAATAAACAGGGACTTTGCTGCGGGAGATGTGGATTCAGGACTTTTAATATAATTTTTTGGCCCAGGGTGTTGTAGCCATAAGTTATTAGCTTTCCCTTATTCGAATTTTTTGCTCGTAGGTTATGGGATTTTATATTTTGTTAGATTGTCTTGGTGATCAAGAAGATCACTCATCTTTATTTTGGGTTTTTTTCCTTCTGGATTGGTTGTATTGATGAGATTTGTGATGATTTGTCATCTTGGTCTATGTTCCAATGCTACGACCATTGCTTCTTCTTCCCTTGACCGTGGACAATGGACATGTTTTTAATCACTTGAAAGACTTTGGTCTTGGAAAGAAAAAGATGGAACTGCGGGAGAGAGATGAGATCCATTGGTAGCTTTGTAATTTGCCTTTTTGACTTTCTCAAATGTTTGGTTGTCATATATTGACCATTTTCTTGACCCCAACCTACATTGATTACATTTAAGAAATATAATCCTTTGTTTTCTGTAAAAGAAAAACACTGCAAGCCGAGGAAAATTCTCGTGTATGTGCGCGCATCTTCCTTACCATGGACCGCTCTTACGTGTCGACTGATGAGAAGTCATCTCAGTTACAAACTCGGCTACTGTCCAACAACGGCGCTTGAAATTCCTTTGTTCTCAACGCGTGTGTGGGACCCAGAATATTTTCGTCACGACCCCTCTTTCAAACGCACCCCGAATATTTTCAACTCTCCACCTAAACCCTCGTCGTTGTCGCTTAACTTTTGGTCGTCATCATTCCCAACGCCACGGTCGCCGGCGATTCTCCGCCGTAAGATCTGATCAATCTGGTCCAACCCCACTTCCATATACTCCGACAAGAAAGCGGCTAACTCATCGCACTGCTTCTTCGCCAATGCGAGCTCCGAGCTCAGAATCTCGTTGCTTTGACGGAGCTTCTCGTTTTCGCCGTAAAGATCAGCCATTTTTGTCGATACAGATTCGGGGTTCTTCATATCAGGGAACGAAGTCGACGTTGAACCCAGTTCGTCGCCGGAGTTCGACTGCGAAGATTGCTCCGGGGCGGTTCCGGCAGATTTTACGGCCGCGGAAATGACCGGAGACGCCGGCTTGCGGCGCCAGATCTCAGAGAGAAGCTCCTTCTGCCCTCGCCGGAAATTCTTGTTGGCGAACTCCCATTTGTCCGGAACAACCTTCCGAAATCCCTGCAAGAGGTTCCCGATTTTCAACATCAGAAGCTAAATTCAGAGGAGAGGAAAAGGAAGGATTCTGTCATGGATTGGATTACATACGTAAGTGTTGAGTTGGCGAACGAAGCTGGCGAAGTTGTTGTGCTTGAAAAAACATGGAAGCAGATCGCGAGCGAAGTCTGCAATCTTCCAGACGACGAAAGCCGTACCGTCTTGGTTCCAAGAGACAACATCGTCGGTGGTCGGATCATCCACCAGTTGGTACGTCTTCGTCAGGAATGGAGCCGGGACCGACCGCTGCCCCACCGCCGCCATGTATTTTCCCGATTTACCCCTCTCTGGTCCTCTTAATCTCAGAAAAAAACCCCCAACCACCAAACCGACCAAACAAAAAAGATCACGGCTTTACACGAATCCAACGTTAATTCAACGAGAATACGAAGACCCGAGTGCTAAAATCACGAACAAGGATCGGATCTTTGATTCCTATATCAACGGCTTTATGAAATTTATAACAGGAGAAGTGAGATGAACTCGAGTGGAAAGCGACGTGGCTTCTAGAAAGTTCTTCCTCTCTTTGCAAATCAAATTTTTCTTATTTTTGTAAGCATTCTAATTAAATGATTTGACGTTTCTTAAGGGTTTTAAGGTAACATTATTTATTAATTTTATTCTTGGGGGAAAATGACCTAAACTATCTCACAACATGATAATATATTTCTTTATTTTCATAAAATGCCTGCTAGTATCTTTATTTCTCTCTTTAATTTAGTCGGAAATTTCCTGAACCGATCATATTACAAAACCACCTATCCCGGTTCTATACCGTATTATTTCCCCGAATAAATTCCCATGCACGCTTTACGTACGTTGTCTGAGTCGGTGGACCTTTTTAAAAAAAAAACAGATTTCAAAATCCATATATTACATCAAACCAAACCGAGTTTATCGGACTTTTGAAAATCGGAGAGATGAAAATTACGTGTTGTCGACGATTCTCTATTCTTTTCTTTTGCATTCAAATTGTCACATTAGAAGACAATAACTATACACATTTTTTGTAATGGAGAGAATTGTGAATAAAATAAATCCGATTCCGACCGACCAATAATGTCACTTTTTACGCTGCCTGAAGTAATTTACTGCTACTCTCCCTGTCGTCTCTACGCGTCATCTTTGGTGTTTTCCTGATCACCTTCACCCGAAACGCAGCCTGCACAAACCGGGAAAAACCAAACCAGAAAACGAAATTATCGGTTAGATATGCGGAAAACCAAACCGGGCTTGTATTAAATCAGTTTGCATGCTTAACAGTATCTGTCTTTACCTTCTTATCGGAACCGAGCTCGATTATGTCCGACGGCCGAAACCGTGCTGGGAAATTTGGTGTCACCCTGTATCTCCTCCCCTCGTTACTGCAAAGACAATAATCAATGCTTTTCAGATATTTCACACAACCGGTTACGAGATTTTGGATCACGGGTATCGTGAAAAATAGGGAATTTTGCTCAAAACGTGTCTTTATCTATAATCCTCGGGCTTACTCGGTGATATATGTGCCGTATTCACTCCGAAGATCCATCACGAAGAAAGCTCCGTCCTTGTAGATAATACGGGCATGTACCTTTGAAACCTAAAGCAACGATATGTGAACCATGATTCAAGTTACAGTTCAAATGGTCTGAAGCGTCTCCAGTTACAGATAGATAAAGTTCATACTATAAAGTTACCTGAGAAGATGGAATCTCAATGCGCATTCCAGGGAAATCCTCGTCGGGTTCGCTCCTGAAATCAGAATATAACGTCAAAAGCAGTTCAAAATTCCAAACTTGCATCAACAGCCAGATGAGTTAGCTGTAAATTGTTCAGAAAGTCAATATATACCCGATGATGCAAGGTTGGTCCTCGTCTTTGTCTAGACGTACGGTTTCCGAGACGATACTGTCATTTCCATAAGGAATCAGATACCAACTGCAAAATAACGAGATAAAAAAAATGCGGGTTTGAGTTAGTATGAACAAATAATACAAAAAGTTGATAATTTGACTCTCATTTTGTAACACATACTCCCCGATCACAGTACGTTCAAGGGCATCGTTGTCCTGAAACCATCTCTGAAGTTGGTCATCGGCCTTCAAACAGAGATTTTAGATATCCATATCAAACATCAGTCCTGTAATAATAATTATTGATGAAGGAAAGAACGGGAAATGCAAATTACTTTGTCTGAAAGTCTGCAACAAGGTAACCTTCCTTCGAGTTTGGAGCTGCAGAAGTGTATATAGAATCTGGGTTAGGTTGGGTTTGATCCAAATATCTAAACAGTTCCAGGGTCCCTCTAGACGATTTCAGACAGATAGAATAAACGATAATATCGACAATGAAACATGAAGATCTGACCTGTTACCTCCGAGGACCCAATTGAGCATCAAAGGCATTGCCACGTCGATAAAGAATCTCCCACCAACTGTTCCCGGGTGTGGTATTCTTAACATCGTCAAGAACTTCAAAAAAAAGACGTGAAAATTCCCTGTTGAGATCATACAAGACACGGAAAACGATTTTCATCTGTACCCATCTTAGACGATACACAATACTCACAGAAAGCGGACCAAGACCCACGCCCAAGTATCCTTTGTAGGTGGACGCCATAATAGCAGCCATTCTCGCCATCCCGTGTATAATGGCAACCCTAAGTTTCCTTGCTTCCTCATAACTAACAAACCCCAACAAAAGGAAGAAACATCATAATGATTCATAGGCTTCCTTATATCGACATCTTTCTTTTAAGAGAGAATATTAGAACCCCCACCTTCTTAAAGAGGAGACGATATCTATAGGTTTATCGGTTTCCACACTACGCCTCCATGCATGTTCAAGCTCCCAAGCTAATTGGTAACTATCCTGCAAGAATAAAGCAAACTTGTTCAGTTAGAACATTCTTCTTCAGGCCAGATCAAAAGAACTAAAACCCTCAATATCGTTCCGAGATCTTTTATTGAAATGCTCATTCAAGACATCATATCCATAGTTAGCGCACTCATCATAGTACGAAGCTCCAGCTCCGTATCAAGTTCACAACTTTGATAATGATACCTCAATGGCCATGCATCCACCTTGACCCATGTTTGGCTGCATTGCATGGATAGAGTCTCCGAGTAACGTAACACGCCCTTTCCCCCATGTAAAACTAGGAGTTCTATCATATATGTCCCTTCTAAGAATCGCGTCCTCCTCTGTGGCATGCAACAAATCTATCACGTTATCGCACCAACCTTGAAATATCTCGAGCAGTCTTTTCTTTCTACCTGTAACAGTAAGTAAAACACATGGACCAAATAAAGAAACATGAGCTTATTCCATTCATATTTGATGAAAACCACACACGGATTTAAAAAAGTCTTAAGAATCTAGAAAAATACCATCGGGAGCATCACGACCGCCGGCTGGCTCCTCATGAAATGCATACCATTGCATCTTTCCGCCTCCGACGTCTGAAGAAACAAAGTATTGCTTGTGTCCCAAGAAAACCCGGTAACTTCACGGAGGGAGGGAACAGTTCCAAATACCAATATCAGAAAGGGGAAAACATAACACGGTCTCGAAAATAGACAAGAGACACAAGAGGTACTTTGAATCCAATGACTACTACATACCCAACGGACTCGATGTCAGCTGGTACAAAATCTGCAATGCCGGTATAGCAAGTGTAACCTGAATATGTAGCTTCCTCATGACCAAACAATTGACTCCTCACCTGGAAACAGCAAAGTCGAAACCTTAACCATATGTTTTTTTGATAAAGCTACTATCTATCCATATCATCGACTTCACAAAAGACATACTTTTGACCATATACCGTCTGCACCGACAAGAAGATCACCTTGGTAGCACTCACCATTCTCAAGCACCACAGTGACCTAGATATAGAAACCATACAGCTGAGTTTGAAAACTTTCTTAAGCGCAGACAGAACCAGCTAACCCAAATTGGTAGTGTCTTAAATATTTGATACCTTATCCTCGGATTCCGAAAAACTAACAACGTTACTCTCGTTTTGAATCACATCTTCTCCAACGGCACGAGCTAGGATCTGCTGCAGAGTCATCCGGCTAATAACTCGTGTGACCGGGAGCCCCCTTTCCGCTGCAGGCGTGAAGGTATCAAACTTGACGTACCTGTTTGATTTACAGACATGGACCATTTGACTGTAACTAAAATGCTTTTCTTAGAAGACAAAACCAGAAACATAAAATTCTCCTCCGCTGATTCAATTAGTACATCGATTACAGAAAACAAGGGATCTAAGCAACAGTTCCGGAAATTTTCAAGAAACTGGTCGCCCAATTAATCAATATTCTCCACAAATAGGAAGGAAAGAGCTTACCAAGAACCGGAAACACCGTCGACGAGACCGTTGATCCGATCACCAGTGATACAACCAGCCTCCATAACTTCTTCGGCGACACCCATATCAATCGCTTCCAAAGCAGCTAAGGCATTGCTCTGTATCTGAATCGGACCTCTGTACTGCCCTTCTCCTCTAATGGCGCTCAAATCCTTCTCGAACACCGCCACGTCAAACCCTTTCCTCTTCGCCGCCAACGCAAACACTAAACCCCCGATTCCGCCGCCGGCGACGAGAACCCTCAGTTTTTCCTTCTCCGCCGCAGTCTCCCGCCTCTCCTCCTCCACCGCCGCCGTCGCCTTGACTCCCACCACTCTCCGGCGACTCATCACGCTTGATTTCCCCCTCACCTTTCCCATAAACGACGGCAAGTCCAAGAAGAAGTGCTTATCGGCAGGACTAAGCAGATGGGTCCTCGAAAAATCGAGTTTTGATAGAGAGGGATTCACGGGAGAGCAAAACAGAGTAGAACCCATCTCGTATTTCCCGGCGAAAAGATCAGAATCCGATGAATCAAATGGAAAAATCAAGTGGGTGGGAAAGAATGCTCTCTATCTGAGCCCCGAGAGTGCGCTTGACTCGACACGCGAGGAGAGATATGGGGTCGGAGGAAAATCTAGGAAGGAGAAGAGAGGACCAATCATGGAGAAGGAGAAGCCATGTGGCATCACCACCATGTCACACTTAGTGCGAAAACAAATATCACGACAGGAGTTGACACCTCGTCTGGTCCTTCTCTCTCAGCCATTAGAAATTCCTTATATTTTCTTAATTACTGCATTTTTTTTTAATATCTTCAATCTGAGAGTGTGACGTTCTAAGCAGAACCTTGATTTTTATCGACGTTTTGTTTAGAGGCCACCATTTTTCTGGTCTCTAAAACAAATTAAGCGCATGAAGGGGAAAAGTCTTGTTTTTTTTTTTTCTAAACGCATGACCAAATATTATTTATATATATATATATATATGTATATAGGTGTCCGAACAACCACAGAAAAATGCTATTAAATGGACACGTGGTGGAGATCCAGTGGTGGTGCGCTTGTGGTTATGGACCACTAAATGGGTCTGTGTTTCTTCTATTCTCGGATTTGGGCTGATATTCCCCCATCGGATACTTTAGGCCCATATTTCGCAATTGGCGTTTTCTTGTAGATAAATGGGCCATTGAAATATGGTCCGTTTCGAATTCTTTTAGGCCCATTTGTATAGGATGCCATAGGTGTAAGATTAGGGTATGCATGCAATATTACGACTCTTTGTAACATTAGTACACCTTGTGTATTATATATGAACAATATTTTTTTTTTGTAATCATATATGAACAATATTCACTTTCAATAAATGAAAATCAGTGATTATTGTTCGGATTCGACTAAGAGCAAAGTACGTTTTATATTCACTTTGGAAATATCCATGTGGGCCCGGGTGAAGGTGCACCGCAAAAAATAAATGATTACATTTAACATTGCGCAAGGGACAGGGTGGGCTGGGGAAGAAAATGGTCAAAATTCAAATAATGCCCAAAAAAAAAACTTGAAAGGGTAGATAAAAAGTATCTATATCTTCTCCCAACATCTATATATATATATATGCCCATTTTTTAAAAAGCATTTATCGGATTATTAATCCAACCATTTGCTTCACCTTTATATATACTATATATAATAAAGTTACGTTCTCCTGTCATTGGTGTCAACCATAAGTTATACTTATATTTTTCTAGCTTTGTTAATTGATTATTTGGTGCTACGTACCTGAAGTGTTAAACAAGCGTCGATACTGACAGAGACAAATCATTTATCAAAATCTATCGTTGTTCCTAGCAACTTAACTAAAGTTCCAACCCAAACTTGGGTGGTCCAATGGTGAGAGAACATGCAAAGCATGCTTTCACCCTGGGTTCAAATCCAAGCGTGGGGAGGGGCATTCACATGGACTTTCTGGGTCTTTGGAAGATGTAGTCGGGTCAAAGTTCCGGTGAACTTCCGAATTATCAAAAAAAAAAAAAAACTTAACTAAAGTTCCAAGAAATGGCATTCTCATAACGAGAGGCCAAAAACAATAATACAAGGTGCACGAACTCTGTCCTGTCACAAAGAACGTGAGAATTTATCCAGGGAAAAAATATATATATTCTTACGAGATTGAATATTTATTATTATTATTGGGGAAAAAAACTGTTTTTGATTTATATTATTAATAGAAATTGGGTGTTAGCGGAAACAACAAGCATTAATGATGGTTGGGATGATGCAGCAGATGGAGAAGCTCCCCGATTTCTGTAGCCCTAACTCTAGCTTCCCCTCCGACCAGACCAACCACCTCATGCTTTCCAACTCCAATGCACACCAATTATTCCTCAACCCCATCCAGATCCAACCCGGTTTCAGATACGGGTCCGGGTTGCTAACCGCTCCCTCCCCCCTCTCGGAGTTCTCTCCCAACGAGTACCCATCAATGTTGATCGACAAAAGATGCTCAGATTGTAACAACAACAACAACAGAAACAGAAACATGGCTGCAATGAGGGAGATGATCTTCAGGATTGCGGTGATGCAACCGATAAACATTGACCCTGAATCGATAAAGCCACCAAAGAGGAGGAACATGAGGACCTCCAAGGGTCCCCAAAGCGTCGTGGCTCGGCAGCGGAGGGAAAGGATAGGCGAGAGGATTCGTATTCTGCAGCGGCTGGTGCCGGGTGGGACGAAGATGGACACGGCCTCTATGCTTGACGAAGCCATCCATTACGTTAAGTTCTTGAAGAAGCAGGTGCTGTCGCTGGAGGAGCAGGCAGTGGCCAATGGCGGTGGACTTGGAGGAAGAACGGTTGTTACCGGCGGTGGCATGTCGGCGGCTCCGGTGGTGGGTATCGCCGGGTTTGGTGGTGGGACGATGATGAAGGGTTGTGGGGCAATGGGTTCTTATCAGATGGTGGGCAAATTCACATATACTTAGATGATTGACACTTCACTTGCCTTTTTTTTTTTCTTCTCATTTTCGTGCTTCAAACATGTTTGTGATGGTTAGTTCCAATCCAACTCCGACTACGTAATTTATCTCAGGTAAATTAAAAGGGGGGAAGGGAGCGGATAATCAATTCAATGAGTCGTGGCCCGTTAAGCCCGTTTTCATCATACGATGAGGCCCATTAAAAACTTTCAATCTCATTAGAGGAAACCCAAGGCCTAAATGTACTAATAGATATGCGAGCCTTAATATATCAAACAAATAGAGGCCCATTAATGCTGTAATGATCGAACGGCTTAAAACGCATCAATATTCATTTCTTAGGGTACACCGCACCGCAGCAGATGACCGATTACAAAAAAAAAACCCTCACGAAACTCGAAGATGGCCATAAATGGCGCATTGATTGAAACCAAAGGTACTACAGTCACACTCCACAGCATAGCTGTACCCCAATCACCTCTTCACATGTGACTCTCCTTTCTTCTTTTATCTTCCCCTCCGTCCTTGTGCGTCCTCAGTTGTTCCGCCATGGCAGCTCAATCTCAGAAGCTTCTCTTCGTCTCTCTCCTTCTTTCTCTCACCCTCGCTTCCCTCCCCGGATCTGAATCGTTCTCCGAGAGTCCTTCCCTGGTACTCCTCGGCGATGGGCTCGACTGGCCGATCTCGTACGGGGATATTCTCGGTGTCGGCGGGGAAGATGACTTCGACAGAGACGGCACCGACGCGGACGCGGCGGAAGAAGACGGCGGTGGAGATCGGCGGTCGCTGTTCTGGCGGCGACGGAGGTACTACATCTCGTACGGTGCATTGTCGGCGAATCGGATCCCGTGCCCTCCCAGATCTGGGAGATCTTACTACACCCACAACTGTTACAGAGCCAGAGGCCCGGTCCATCCGTACAGCCGGGGCTGTTCCATGATCACCAGGTGCAGGAGATGAAGACGAGGGCGAGGACGGTGAAGAAGGAGGCCATTTTCGTAAATTTGTAACTTTGCTTTTTTCTCGTTGTAGTAAAGTGTGTTGTTGGTCGTGATTTCAAGTGTGTTGATTTTGCTAATGCCGGGGATTATCGGCCGTGGGCTGTCGTATGGGTCGAATTGGTGAATAACGTGGGGGGTGGAGGGTGTTTTGGTAATTTTATTAGAATCACGGTCTCTTGGCTTTGTCATGTTGTGTCGGTTGTCCCCCTCCCCCATATGACGGCTTCGTCTAAATTATTTCGTCCTGTCATGTTGTTTTTGGCCATGGACTGTGATTGGAATTTAGATCCGAATCACATGGCATGTCTTTTTCAGCCCCTCGCCTGTGGGCTTAGCTTCTAGCATTAGACCATCCAATATGGGCTGGCATGGAAATTGATATAAAATTGCACCATAATACGAACGATATGCGAATATCTCGTGGAAAAAAGAAACCTGGCCCAAACACTTTTGTTGGGCTTCTTCCCTTGAGTTGCTATTATCGTCACGTGGATCCGAAAAAATCTAAAAATAGGGGCAGTCAAACGACGGCGTTTTACAGGGAAAATTCAAAACAAAGATATGAAAAAGTTGTGTATAATTGAGAATATGCCCATTGGCCTAACTTCTTTATCCTGAAGAGAAAGGCACGCTTTACACTCGAAGTGCATGAATCGTTAGGCGGCTTATTTGGATTAGGGATGTCAAAACGAGCCGAGCTCGCGAGCCGGCTCGAGGTTGGCTCCTTTTTTACCGAGCCGAGCCAAGAATATCTGAACCCAAATAAAAATGGGCTGAGTGAGCCAGCTCACCACGAGCCGAGCCCAAACGAGCTAGCTCGGCTGGTTCGCGAGCTGGCTCGGGAGCTGGAGTCAAAAATAAATTTTATGTTGAAACTTGAAAGTGTTGATATTGTTGGTATGATATTTTGATTTGGAAATAATTTTTTATGTATAGATTCGGATCTGAAGATGGTTTTTTGTACATGGATTAAGATCTAATGTATATGGATGGATTAAGATTTGAAAATGGTTTTTTGTACATGGATGGATTATGATTTTATCTATTTGAAAATGATTTTTTGTATATGGATTGTGATTGTGAATATAAGTATGATTTGGATGTATTGGTATGTTCTTTTTATGTTGATATATCATTTGGATATGATTTTATATAATTTGATATGATGTTTTTTAGGTATTTAGAAAAATATGAGCCGGCTCGGGAGCCGGCTCGCGAGCTAAGCGACTTGGGCTGAGCCAGAAATTTTCTGGCCCAAATAAAAATGGGCTTAACGAGCTGGGCTGAAAATGAGCTGGCTCGAAACGAGCTGGTCCGAGCTGGTCCGAGCCGGCTCGTTTGACATCCCTAATTTGGATGTCCTAAAAATTAATCGTCTCACGTCACGTGTAATGTTTTGGGCTTTTCCCCTTTGTATTCTTGTTTGTACAATGTTTTGATTTGACGTCGGCCTTCCCACTTCAAAAGGGGCACTCCAAGTTCTCTGCCATTAAAGAACATACCAAATGTAAACCACTTCGAAAGGGGCTTATTTGGAATTTATTTTTGTTGTTGTTATTATTTGTTACATTCATTTGTGATAAACTGTCTTTCATTTTTTAAAAAAATTATATCACGTTATCGGAAACAGGACATATTAAAAATGGAATGGACCGGCCGCCACGGTCAAGCAAGTTGCCGTGTAATATGTATATAGTGATACTATATAATAATATTTACATCTCGAATTCAAACTTTAAATTAAAAAAAAGGGTATATTTCAAATCATATAGTTAATCTCTAAATTTGATATTAGTCTAAAATTTAGTTAAAAACATTCAGTTATCCAAACAAAAATAATGAGTGATATATAAAATAGTTGATTGGAATTGTTGTCGGATAAAGTCCTTTTTTTTATGCTTTCCTTGGAGGATCAGTTCATGTTGCGTGACTATTGGAAACTGGTAATAAATAAAATACGCTCGCATCGCATGTGCCTATTTTATCGTATTTGGGGCTATAATTCCGTAACCAATGGAACGGTATCAACATCGATATATATCTCATATTTGCCAAAATATATAATTTATACATTGTATCTATATATATATTTTTTACAAAAATATAGAATGATAACAGTATATTGCATAATTCATGTGTGTGCCGATGTGTTTATCCAAATCAAACGATTCAACATTTTACGATATGTTACTAGAGAATTAGCTTTTTGGGATTGAAAATATAAAAGAAAGGGTTACAACTTATAACATAGATCCCAATACAGGAAAGTGTTTTCGATTGGAGAAGGTGCGATTCTTGAATTGGCCAACAAACATGACGACAACTTACAATATATATATATATTAATATATTAATAGGCGGACCTAAATTTATTATTCAAATCCAAATTCGGATATTAGGATACTCGTATTGTTCAAATCCAAATCCAAATTTTTTAATACCCATGAATCCGAATTCAAATCTGGATAATATAATTTTTAAAACCGGACATTCGCGGTTACCTGATTAGTATGATTATAAATAGTTTATATAATATTTTTATAAAATATAATTATTTTAGGTTAAATAATTTTATATTTTTTAATATTATCTAAAAAATTAAATTTATTATTATTTATCTCTTATTATCTTTTTTATATAGATTTTTATCGTAATTCATCCATTTTTATAAATTTATCTTCACTTTTTTAAAATTTTATATATAAATATTGTTATTTTTTTCTTAAATAAATCCGAATTCGGATAACCGTGAGTATCAAAACATTATTTTGGATACTCGTACTTCAGATACTCATAAATCCAAATCTCGGATATAAATCTTATAATTAAATATCTGAATCTCTTGGATGTAAATCAAATATTCCGATTGTTTTAGGTATCCGACCTATGAACACCCTAGTGTATAATGTGTTCACTTGTCTCCATATAATTAATTGCTCCCTCTATTTTTATTAGTTATCATTTAACAGAATATTTGTTGAATTTTAATAGACGTAGTTTTAGAATTTTTAGGTGATTTTAAGAAATTTTTTAATTTTATTTTTAATTAAAAATTAGTAATTATTGAGAATATGTTTTGATGAGGTGATATGTGATTTTTTTAATATTTTTTAAAACACTGTAAAAAAAATCTAAAAAAGATATGTATTATGAAGGGCATGGAGTAAAAAAAACCATTTCTTCATAAATTTTATTAAATTATAAATACTATTGATAAATGCCTCAGATAAAATGAAGTTTATTCATTTAAAATCACACATATATATTATTATTATTACCCTGTATAAAAATAGTTTTGGATCCGTCGATATATATATATATATATAATGGTCATAAAATATTCACCCTTACAAGTTAGAAGTTCCTAATACAGTAATCCACACTGATTAAACAATTAAGAAGAATGATAAATGGGACTGTTACGATTTACCAGCAGCACCACAGTCATTTGGTGTCCCATGAGATTGCCATTGCATCATGATGATTGCCATTTTTTTTACAATAATTAAACGATTGAAATTATATACCGACATATATATATATATATATCCAACTATCCAAGTTTATTTTCGTTGACTGACCGGAAATTTACTTTTAGATAAAAGGCACACGTGTAGATGATATTCCTTTATACATGTTTTTTTTTATATTATATATATATATATATGTATATGTATACATTGTTGGAATATAATTTCAAGATAGAATACGGTTCTCATTGATAAAATACGAATCGGTATAAGTTTAACTGTGATTTTATTTGATTACGATGTTTCAACGCCTACCAATCTATCTGTTCCGGAATTTCCCCATCTGGTCAGAAGATGAACATTCCATTTAAAGCCCACAAAAGCGTCTCACGCAGAAATGCATGATCGAGAGGTTAATTATATATATCTTGAACCTGTATAAAACTATATATTTTGTAGTCAATTTAAAATAAATTGCACAGAAAATGTTACATTTTACACTAAAAATGACAAGCATACCCAAATAAATAACCGAGAGATATAACTTACCATAATATGACATTGTTTTCTATTATGATATATAATACAAATAACATGGGCACGCTTAGATGGATGACTACGCAAACAGTGACAGCGTGGACTACGTGGATACTAAGAGTGGTATATGCCAAGAGGATCCCATCGCTTTTCGCTTCAAATTATATATATATATATAAAATCAGAGAAGATGGCATAAGGCAGTGGCAAGAAAAGAATATCGTCTGGCCAACCTTGGATCTCAAACTTCTGTTTTGATTTCTTGATTTTTTTTAAAATGTTAGGTATCTCAGCTGATAAAAAAAAAGAGAGAGAAAATTATTGAGCGCCAAATTTTGTTATTATATATAAAAAAAATTCACAAGGCTTCATTTTTTTAGATTTCAAAATTAGAAAAAATAGCTGTTTTTGTTTGTTAAAAATAAGATTAGAGGAAAAAAATGGTTAAATCATTCTTGTTATATAAATCAGGATGGAGAGCTTATAAGATATTTGATAAATTGAAGAAAAACACGTGGCTTGCCAATATATATATATATATATATGTGTGTGTGTATGAATAGAGAAAATCACGCATGGATATTTTGAATGCTTTAAGACCTCCAATTAATTTGTTACATTATTAAACCGCGGAGGAATAAAGTCAGAAGAATCTGACTGAACAAAGCATTTAAAACGATAACAACAAATATTACGGAGGTTACTAAAAGTATCTCACCAAATATCATCAAGGATGGTACAGGATTTATAACCGATGGAAAAATATCTGTCTGTACACAGCGAAAGATAGCCCCAACATTCCGAATCTGAAGATGAACAAGGGTCGTGCGATGATATTTGAAAATTCAGCACGTTATTCATATCGTTTTTAGCAGTCCAACCAAGAAATATCCGCCATCGCCACGTGCATTAACTCCCCCTGAAATTCAAACTTTTGGAATTCACAAAATTTTATTATTAAAAAGTTTCAAAATCCGAGGAAAAAAGGAAGTATTTAAAAACAAATTGGAAAAATCAGTATATAAAATGGAAACCTTGCGCCAGGAGGCACAAACAACAGTCACGAGCCTCGTGCTCTGTTTTTTCCTCTCCTTCGCTTCTTCCCGCTTGCCAAGGAAACCAGATCCTAATTGGCTAAAAAAAAGGAAGCTTTTCTTCATAAATCACAAAAAAATCTAAAAACCCAGTGCGAAATTTCATCAAGATTCGCATCGGAGATTGCTTCCATGGAGTGGGTTCGAGGAGAAACAATCGGATACGGGACCTTCGCCACCGTCAGTTTAGCGACACCGGCGAAGAAATGTTCTGGAGAATTCCCGCCGTTGATGGCCGTGAAATCCGCTGACTCTTACGGAGCCGCCTCGCTCGCGAACGAGAAATCGGTGCTGGATCAGCTCGGTCACTGCCCTGAGATCGTACGGTTCTTCGGCGATGATCGGACGGTGGAGAACGGAGAGGAGATGTGCAACCTGTTCTTGGAGTACGCCTCGAGAGGAAGCTTGGCCACCCACGTGAAGAAATCCGGCGGGGACGGTCTACCGGAATCCGCTGTGCGCCGTCACACCCTATCAGTCCTCCGGGGACTGTGTCACATCCACGCGAATGGCTTCGCTCACTGCGACATCAAGCTCGGGAACATTCTGATGTTCGGTGACGGCGCCGTTAAGATCGCTGATTTCGGGCTGGCGAAGAGAACCGGAGTTACTAACGGAGAAGAGACGGTGTCAGAAGGGTCGCAGATCAGAGGAACGCCGTTGTATATGGCACCGGAGTCGGTGAACGACAACGAGTACGGATCAGAAGCGGACGTGTGGGCGTTCGGATGCGCCGTAGTTGAGATGTTCAGCGGGAAAACGGCCTGGAGTTTCAAAGAAGGATCGAACTTCATGTCGTTGCTGATGCGCATCGGTGTTGGAGACGAACTTCCGAGGATTCCCGAGGAGTTGTCGGAAGAAGGAAGAGATTTCTTGTCCAAGTGCTTCGTTAAAGATCCCAAAAAGAGATGGACGGCTGAGATGCTTTTGAGCCACCCGTTCATAGCCGTCGATCTCGAGCATGAAGATGATGATGATGGTCGAGAAGAAATCTTTGTGGAACTGCAGAAGGATGAAGTTTCGGTCTCACCTAGAGGCCCTTTAGATTTCCCCGACTGGGTTTCGGAATCGTCGGATTCGCAGACGCAATGTCAGCCGTACGATTCGCTGGAGGAGATAATCGGCAGTCTGGCAACTGACTGTTCCCCTGACTGGTCTGTCACGCAAGGTTGGGTCACCGTCCGGTGATTGTAGTTAGAAAAACAGGGTTGTCACAGTCAGGAGGGGGTTTAGCCAAATCCAAGATTCTAATACATTGTGACCATTTGTTGATGTAAATATTCAAATAGATCTTTGTTTTTACCCAAAATTTTCAAATTTAGTTTTTTGTTATATGCAATCTAATGCGAAACATTGAGAAAAACGACGATTTTATTTTTTAATGGTACGAAAATTGAAAAAAAAAAGAATACCAACTAAGAATCTTGGACAAGGCTCGTGGCCAACACAGGACAGCTTACTTCATACTTTCCTTCTTCGTCATCAACCCAACTCACAAACCCATGGATCACATTCTCCTGCAACAACATCCTCGGACTCTCCAATCTCACAGTGTAGCTCAGTCTCTCGTATTTCTCGTTGAACACGAGCTTCTTTGGCTCTACGACGACGTTTAGACCCTCTAATCCTCGGACTCTCACGCTGTAGTTTCTCTTTGCTTCTCCTACGTTGGTCAGTGTCCTTCTGAAGACCTTGGTGGCTGTCTGGTTCGATCCGGAATTGTCTTGATATGCAGTGAAGTAAGCGATGATTGCAGGGTAATTGAGATCGGGAGATGGGTTTCTGCAAATGTTTGAAAGATTCGATCTTGTGATGGCTTTGACCAATTTCATGGGGTTTTTCGCCACGTGGCAGAGAAAGTTTATGAAATCTTGAGGCGTCGAGTCGTAGATCAGTCCCGGGTTCAGTGCTTTGTTTGGGTTTACATGTCCGGCTCCAATGGCCAGAGGGTTAGCCGGTCGATGCTTATCTCCGATGTCTTTGATTCGGCCTAATGTGTTGTCCATTGTTTCAGCCGTAGTCATAATAGCAGACTTGATCGCTGATGGACTCCATCTGGGATACACTTGCTTTATAAGCGCTGCTACACCCGACACGTGAGGTGCCGCCATTGATGTCCCGGTTAACAGATTGAATCCGCTGAACAGTGGTCTTGTCCTGGTTCCGGCAACCTGCTTGTCCGACGGCCAAGCAGAGAGTATCAGCGTCCCGGGAGCGAAAATGTCCGGCTTGAGCACGTTAGGGCAGCTCGGGAACGGACCTCTGGAGCTGTATCTTTCCACTTCTGGTGCAGGTTTGGCCCCAGTCATTGTTTTCTTGAATTCCAGCTTCGCCGTTGCGTTCATGTCGTTCTTTGCGTAGTCTTTTATGGTTTCTCTGTGCTTTGAGCTGACGAATGCCACCGGAAATGGGATTCGGATCGTTTCTTGTTCGGAAAGAAATTTATCTGTTATTACAACTGCTGCTACAGCTCCTGTAGATTGGGCCTGTTCGAGCTTGCTTCTGACATCCGCGTAATCGTTACAGACAACTATCTTGTTCTTGCTGCTCTCATTACCCTTTGGGATATCGCAAGATTCCGTGAACTTCAACGGAACCTGGGTTGACGAGAAATTTCCGGGATACAGAGACGGAAACCTCACTCTAACTCCGTTTCCTAATGTAAGAATCCCCTCAAATCTCCGACCAACAGTGCCGGAGGCGACAGTTGTTATCCACGGAGCTCCATTGATCAAACTCCAGTAGAATGGCCCGTCATTTCCACTCGACGCGACCACGAAGACGCCCTTTTGAAATGCTGCGAATGCCGCCACAGCTATCGGGTCATCTTCTAGACTTACTCCGTCGAAGCTTATCCCCAACGAAAGCGATATAACGTCGATTCCATCTTGGATTGCCTGATCAATGGCTGCCACCACATCGGACGAGTAGATTCCTTCTTCCCAAGCGGCTTTATATACAGCTATATGGGCACGTGGCGCAATCCCGGAAGCCGTTCCCTCTGCATAAGCGAAGTAAGAGGCGTTCTTCACGTGGTTCCCGGCGGCTATGGCGGAAACATGGGTTCCATGTCCGATGGTGTCATATGGGGAGGAATAATGGCGTTTTGCCTTGGCTCTCAAGCTAGGAATGTTAGCGAGCAGCCCTTTGTTGAAAACCCTAGCGCCTATCAGTTTCTTGTTGCACACGAAAGGAGAGTTGAACTCACATGTCCCTTTCCATTTTGACGGAACCGAACTGATTCCTTCGTCGTGAAAGCTGGCGCTTCCCGGCCAAATTCCGGTATCCACAAAACCAATCACAACCCCGTCGCCGTAATTGGAGACCGGCCATATACCAGAATTGGGATTGAGGCCAATAAATTGCGGAGAAAGCGTGGTATGAAGCTGAACCGGAAAATCTCTGGTAAAGGAAACGTACCCGGTTTGGCGTTTGAGGCTTTCGAGCTCGGAGATGGTGAGAAGTGCGCTAAAACCATGAATAGAATCGGTATAAGAGTAGATAATCTCTGGTTTCCGACCGGAGACAGAAGAAAGAGTGGCCGAGAACCAGCTATGGTGGTCGGAGAACGGAGACGGCATGGCGGATAAATCCATATGGACGATATACGAACCAGTTTCCGCCATTGCTGCAGTTGATCTGAAGAAGAAGATAGTTAGCAGAATCGGGAGAGTGGCCGCCATGGCTGAGCAGGTTGGCTCTGACTGAGAATCAAAAGAATCTGGTTAAAATGGAATTAAAATTAGTGAAAAAAGAAAAAAGAAAACAAAAGTGAATGTTTCATTTTTATATGACAAAAGTTGCAGGACTTGGAACCTTTATTTTCTTCTTTGGTAAAGTGGTTAAAGGTGGGGAACACCACCTCACCATTTTCTATTTTCCTTTTGTTTAAAATATAAAATTGGACACTCATCATATTTTGAGATAGACCCAATAAATATAGGCCCATCTTTGGGCCCGTTAATGTTAGGCCCATTTAAGAGCTTATTTCACACGGAACGGATGGACATTTGAAATCCCTCTGATTCAGATCTTCTAAATGGCGCGAAAACCCTAAAACCTTCTCCGCTATCAGCAGAGATCATTTCCGAATCTAAGCCAGACTTCGACCGCCGATACCGTCGTCGAGGGAACCCTAGATCGGCTGTAAACTGAACAAATGACAGACGAGTCTCCGGCAAAGACTGGTCGAAGACGCGGCGGGGGTGTGGAGGCGGCCGCTCGGAAGGAGGCTATCGAGCGGCTGAAGGCTCTTAAGCAAGGATGACGCCGGAATCTGTCTTCTTCCGGCGGCAGATACGACATTAACCTGGAGAAACCGATCTATGACACGGTCGATGAGGAGGAATACGAGGCGATCGTGGCCCGGTTGGCGGGAGGAGGTGCGGGGCTCGTGATCGACGATGGAGACGGCGGCCGTTTTGGGTGCGTCGATTGGAAGAAGGCCGGTCTTCCAGAGTCTTCGGATGAATCTGAGGGCGAGGGTAGGTTCAGCGGCAGATTGAAGAAGAAGAGAGTCGAGAAGAAGGAAAAAGGCCAAATCCAGCAGCCGCAGGCTAAGAAGTCGAATCCGTCCCTTGCGACTGCGGAGGCGATGATGGGCAAGCAGAGGCTTTCGTCGATGTTCACATCATCGGTTTTTAAGAAGGGCAAAGAGACTGACAAGGTAAAGTGCGAGAGCATTGTTGACAAGATAATAGCAGAGTTAACCCCAGATGCAGTTGATAGAGGGGCAAAAGAGAGGGAAACCCGTATGGTTACGATGACCTCTGTCAGGAACAAGAATCGGGTTGCTCCGAGCACGGTGATGCATGAACCAGAACCGGTAATACAAGGATCTGCACCCGCCACTGATCCGGATATCGGTATTTCCATGGAAAATGAGCTTTTGGAAGAGGTGAAAGAGGAATCTACGGCAGAACCCGAAGTTGTTCATACAGAGAATGCTGAACATATTGAATTGTTCGCAGGTGGAAGCGTTGTTGAGGAAAATGCGAACGCTACAAGCCATGTTGAGGCGAAGATCCAACCAGATGTAAAGGAGGTATTTATATTGAATGCGAAAATTGATGTCAAGGCAAAGGATCCTGCTTTAAGCGCCACTGCTGGCTGGACGGAAGCGATGAGCAACGGTGTTGGTGGAAAGGGCTCTGTGGCTGGGTTCACCTGTGAAGGGCAATTTGATTTTGAGTTGGATGCCGATGGATCTCTGCGTTTCTACATTCTTGATGCTTACGAGGAGGATTTTGGTGCTAATATGGGCACGATTTATCTGTTTGGGAAGGTGGATTTTCGATTATTCTTTGAATGGTTACTGTCTTAATTTAGATTTTTGGGATTGTGGATTTCTGGTAACCTGTTTATTCGATTCAGGTTAAAACGGTTAAACCAGAGCTGCTGCGTGACAGTTAAGAATATCCAGAGATGTGTGTATGCTGTTCCAAATGATTCTGTTTTTCCATCTCATGAACACTGGCCATGCTTAAGAAAGAGGTTGAAGTCTCTCAACTTTCTAAGGAATCCTTCCGAGGAAAGTTACATGTGAATTTGATTTTCCAACATGTTTAGAGGAAGTAATATCCTCTCCGTATGTTATTTATTGTTCTTCGTGGTGCCTTCTTAGGAAATGGCATCGAATCTCAAGAATGAAATTGCTCAGCACTCAGCAGTTGTCACAACTCAATGTTTCTAGTTTTAGCATGGCACCTGTCAAGGTCTGGATATTCATACCCTTGTTTTCATGAATTTTAGCAGTCACACGTTTGATTAACTTTGTTCTTGTTTGGCTATGGATAAATATCAGAGAAACTATGCTTTTGAGCGGTCTGATGTGCCTGCAGGGAAGCATTATGCACTGAAGATAAATTATCCCTTTAAGGTATATTTTTCAGTGTTTCTAATCAGATTGGCATATGGTGGTTTAGGTCATCCAATTCTCATTTAAAGCCCTTCCTTTGTTATTACAGGATCCACCACTTCCAGCAAATTTAAAGGGCAAGACTTTCTGTGCTTTGCTTGGGACTCATACCAGGTTTAAGCTGTTTATTACTTGTTTCTTGTTACCTTTTCCTGTATTTGGCGATTGGTCTGGTCAGTTAAGTTTTCTGTTCTCTTCTGCTTATCAATTTGTTTATATGCAGTGCTTTGGAACTTTTTATCCTTAAAAGGAAGATCAAGGGGCCTTCTTGGTTATCAATTTCAACCTTCTCTATCTATCCACCCTCTCAACGACTAAGGCATTGAAACAATTACATACATCTTAATTATGCTATGACTATCTACTTATTTCCAACATTTGGTTCATATTACGACTGATGGCTTAGCTCTTGTGCAGGTGATCTGGTGCAAATTTGAGATACATGTTGACTCTTCTAAGGTTATTTCTGGTTTGTCTTCGAAATATGAGGCAATTCCTCCTGTTATTGTTACAGCCACAAATCTAAAGACTATAATCAATGAAAAGCAGAACATCAATGAGATTGTCTCTGCATCAGTAATTAGCTGCCACAAGTCAAAGGTTAGTTCTATAACATTTGACTGATGTTTCTTAAGCTAGTGTTTATCTGAGTTTGTAAAGCCTTTGAATATATGGTTGTGACGTCACCAATCATTTATTAATGATTCTTACTATGATCATTGCTTTGAAACATGTGGTGGGATTTCCCAGGAATTTTTCCTTGCTCAAAATTCAGTGTTTTTCGTGTATATACAGGTGTGTACCTGTGTTTTTCGGGGAAATCTTTTGAATTAGCCTCCATTCCGTTCTCTTTTGATGATTAGTTTTTCTAGTTCCCTGGTTTTGATTTTCTTAACTAAGCGAATGTTGCTTTTGATCTCTTAGATTGATGGTCCAATGTTAGGCTCAGAATGGAAGAAACCTGGTATTCTGAGTCATTTTACTGTTGTTTGGAATCCTGATGGAGCCATTTTCCAAATGGGTTAGCCAAAAGAAGTGGCAGACCGAAACTTGAAGACTGGATGCAATGTTCTAGGTTGTGAAAACAGGTGTCTTGTGGCTCTCTTTCTGTTAATTCCTGTTGCATAGGCTGCATATGTCTAAGACAATTTGAGTTACGTTTTCTAATTTTTAAATTTCTTCTAAATTTGTGTTGCAGCGAAAGAGCATTGCTAAATATATTGTTTTTAGAACTGAACAAACTCAATAGTGATGTTCTTGTGGGGCATAATATAGCAGGGTGTGATCTGGAGGTTTCTTCAGAGAGCCCAGGTACTCTCTAGTCCTGTAACCTGGGTTGTAAATACTGAGGAAGGTCTGGGTGTCCCTTCTTTTGGATAACATATCTAATGTTAATAAGTCTTAGATTCAGTTTTGGAAGATTCAGCTGCTGTGTTTGGTATCGGTCTACTAGGTTTTTGGAAGCCAAGCACTATTTTTGACTAGTCACTAGTCAGGTCCAAAAATCCTTTTGAGTGATGTATTTTACTTTTGTTCCTTTCTCCCTTCTCCCGAAGACCTGCTATGTGTAATAGAGATATTGATATCGGCTCTTCCTTGTCTCTAAAATGAGATTATCATTCCTATGCAGGCTTGCAAGGTTTTGAATTTTGAGTAGTATGTGGCCCAAAATCGGTTGTCTCAGATGCTCTTTCTTGCCTAAACTTGGTAGAGCAAGCATTATGTTTGGTTCAGGTGCTAACCCAGGGATCATGTCTTGCATTGCTGGAAGGCTCTTGTTTGATACAAACCTGTGTTCTTGTGACTTGTTAAAAGAGGTATGATGCTTAACTTTTACAAGTAGCAAGCTCAAACTCAGTCTTTCACGTGTAAGCATCTCTTTCTTCCAGGTCAGTTATTCTTTAACACAACTTTCAAAGACGCAGCTGAACAATCACAGGAGAGAGATAGCACCTCATGATATTCCTATAATGTTTGTCACCGGAATCTCTTATAGACCTTGTACGTCTGAAGTTAGCTCGTTTGTTTGTCTGCTTTTCTTTTAAATTTGGGCATACTTGCATGTATGATGGAATCGGATAAGAAGGACTTGCATGAGTCAGCAATATGAAGAAGTAAAACGAATTACAGATCTCATACCATGCTGATCCCTCAGTTTGGGTCATATAATTGCTCTGTTGTGGTGGCTTGTCATAATGTTTTACTGTTTTGTGAGTTCAGATTGAATGTGGTGAGACAGATGCATGGTTATCCATGGAGCTCATGTTTCATTTAAGTGTTCTTCCCCTCACTCGCCAGCTTACAAACATTAGTGGCAATCTTTGGGGAAAAACTCTCCAGGTAATGTTTTGCTTTCCTGAAAATTTTCCCTGTGATTTGTTGAGTCCGAACTGGGTTGGTCCTTTTTGTTGAGTCCGTTTGTAATGTGCATTGAACATGTCGACTCATGCTCATATAATCTTCATTATTACTAGGTAGCCAGGGCACAGAGAATCGAATACTATTTATTGCATGCATTCTGTGCAAGAAAGTATATTCTTCCAGACAAAATTTCTTCTCAAACTAAGGAAATAAAATTGTCAAAATGAAGAATAAACCATGGTCCAGAGGATCAAAATATAGATGAGTTTGATCCTGATGATGCACATTTGGAGAGTGATGCGCATCACAGAGGCAAAACGAAAACGGGTCCTTCATACTCTAGTGGACTTGTATTGGAACAAAAGAGAGGATTAGATGAAAAATATGTATTCTTCTTGATTTCAATAGCCTGTACCCCTCCATTATACATGTAGCAGGCTGTTTCCTCTTGTAGGCTTCTAACGGTTATTTCCTGTTGCCCATGATTTATAGATAATTGGATGTAACTGATTTCAGGAGTATAAATATATGTTTCACGACTGTTCCACAATCAGAAAATGGGGTTCCTCATTTGCCATCGAGTCAGAGGACTGGAATTCTACCTCAGGTATTCTTGCCACTGAACTTTCTACTCCGGATGCTTTCTACTCTTGATTTTCTAGTATCTATAGAAGTAAGTTTCATCTTTCTTGGTTCTCCTATCACCAATGACCCACTTCCATTTAACCTGAAAAGGATGGCTATGATCTACTGGCAGAAATACAATTCCAATAAGCAGAAGTGATGGTTTCCTTGTATTAATATATTTGTGTGGGATTATGGGAATATATGCAACCCGTATTTATATATATGTTATTGTTTACTGCTAACTGAGAAGGGGAACCTTGGCGCACCGGTTAAGGTGTTGCCGTTATGACCTAGAGGTCACGGGTTCGAGTCCTGGAAGCAGGCTCAACGGGGACGCTTTGTGCACTGGCCTGCCCTTTTTTTTACTGCTAACTGTGGTTCATCTAACCTAATCTTGGCACATTCCGAGACCATTGCTTTTATGCATCTTGTGCTCCCAGATTTTGATTTTCTCCCCACTCTGTTTTGATATACGTAGTCTAATGGAGGTTAATGATGAATTTTAATATTTGTTGTTCTAGTCACTGTTTCTTGGTGCATGAAGTTCCGAGCAATGGTATAATAATGTTAATATTGTTTTGAAGCTGGTGTTGGGAATTATTTAGCGTGTAAAACAGAGACATTCTCAGTAACAATTTGTTGTGTTCTGGACTCTGATGCTTACTCAGTTAATTAACATGTCTACTATGCTCCTTTAATTTTGGGTCTCCTCTTCTCTCTGTCAATTTCTAGGTTAACAAGAATTATAGGTGTTTAGAAATTGATCTCGATGGCCTATATAAGAGATTGCCTCTTCTAAGAAAGAAAAAATATGCAGCCGTCTAGTTGCAGTTTAAACACGGGAAGCCTTATGAGGTAATCTTTAATGTTGTTTCTATGGTTACATTTGTTCGTAGAAAATTTCCGAGTGTTAGATGCATTCTCAACTCAGGTCATTGAACGAAAAGGTCTTGATATGGTTCGTCGTGATTGGAGCGTACCTGCAAAAGAAATAGGAGATTTCTGCTTGACTAAAATCTTGACAGGAGGGTATGTTCACAATACCACATATTTTCCTTTTACTCTCTTGTGCTGACCAGGAGATAGTGTTGATAAGAATGAAGACAACATATTGGCAAGAATGTTAGACCATAAGGAAGACATCTACACCATTCTTTGCAGGTCATGCGAGGATGTTGTTGAAGCGATACATAGCTCTCTCATGAAGGTGATATGATATCCCTTCTATTTATTCGTTAACCCTCTTTCTTGGTTGTCAGTTTGAACTGATTGTTCTGACTTCAAGAAATATGTTGCTTTGTTCACCAAACAGATACAAGAGGAAATGAGAAGTGGGCAAGTTGCGCTTGAGAAGTATGTCATTACCAAGACATTGACTAAACCGCCTGAAGCTTATCCAGATGTCAAAGCCAACCACATGTTCAAGTGAGTATAAGGGCTTCCATAGTCGTATCTTTAACTGTAACTATGTATAGTGCATATGGTTAACTTGTTGGAGCTCTCCATTCGAATTTTGGGGTCTCTAATGGAATGTTCTTGAACCAAAATTTCAGGTGGCACTCAGATTGAAACAACGTGGTTATTCAGCTGGTTGCTCTGCCATGAACAGGTTTCCAACTCAGCAACCCACCATTAAAACCACCTCTAGATTATAGGAAATTTGGTACTCAAATTCTTTTTTATTCTATCTTTACAGGGTAGTAGCAGTTGTGCTAGTTCAGTTATAGACCTTGTACGTCTGAAGTTAGCTCGTTTGTTTGTCTGCTTTTCTTTTAAATTTGGGCATACTTGCATGTATGATGGAATCGGATAAGAAGGACTTGCATGAGTCAGCAATATGAAGAAGTAAAACGAATTACAGATCTCATACCATGCTGATCCCTCAGTTTGGGTCATATAATTGCTCTGTTGTGGTGGCTTGTCATAATGTTTTACTGTTTTGTGAGTTCAGATTGAATGTGGTGAGACAGATGCATGGTTATCCATGGAGCTCATGTTTCATTTAAGTGTTCTTCCCCTCACTCGCCAGCTTACAAACATTAGTGGCAATCTTTGGGGAAAAACTCTCCAGGTAATGTTTTGCTTTCCTGAAAATTTTCCCTGTGATTTGTTGAGTCCGAACTGGGTTGGTCCTTTTTGTTGAGTCCGTTTGTAATGTGCATTGAACATGGTTGGTTGACATTGATTATTACTTGTCGCAGCAGATTCACCCAGTGGTGTCACGTCTTTGCGCAGAGATTCAGGGCACTAGCCCTGAGCGTTTAGCTGATTGTTTAGGACTCGACTCATCAAAGGTAAACTACTTGTTTCCAAGAACATCTATGATTCACATCCAATTTTTAAATCCTTATCTTTGATAAGGCCGGAAACAATTTTCTGTTGTAGTACCGAAGTAAGACAACCGAAGCTTCCAGCATTGATCCCTCAAGCTCCCTCTTTTTTTCCGTAAATGATGAGGAGAGGTAATAATGTCTAGTCCCATGTCCAAATTTTCATCTAATCTCCATAACTCGTAACTTTTCTCCGGATTGAAAATTCTGTCACTGGTATGTTCTTGAATATAGCTGAGCTCTGTATAAACATGATATATCTTTCTCAAACTGCAGGTACAAAGGTTGTGAGCCATATGCATTAACATGTCTGAACTGCTCTGCTGCCTTCAACTGTCCAACTATTCTTGGTTCTATTAGCTCGACCATCAGTGAGAAACATGTGAAACCTGAAACCGAGGAATCAGATCATACGTTCTGGCTTAAATTGCATTGCCCAAAATGTCCACAAGAGGGTGATGAGGGAAGAATATCTCCTGCAATGTTAGCCAACCAGGTAGGCAAGAATTGTTGAATGGATTATAACTTAAGCTTCCCGAGCAAACCACATGTTCTTGCGGTTAGATTAGGACATATACCTTTATCCGAACAAAATCTTCGTTTCTTACTGCTCACTATACCACAACTATTCAGGTTGCTAAAGGCACGTTCACACTTCAACATGTTTCAGGTAAAAAGGCAAGTTGATGGGTTTGTTTCAATGTACTACAAGGGCGTAATGACGGTACTTTACCCTCTTTTCTCCCAGATATCGATATTCCATATTATGAACATCTGTTGTAAATCACTCATGTCTATGAAATGTACTCAATTTATACCTTTACCTGTTAGTGCGATGATGAATCTTGCAAGCTCCCAACCCGATGCCTCAACTTGCATCTGCTTGGAGACTCTGAACATGGAACAGTTTGCCTGAATTATCCTCGTTGCAATGGAACCCTCCTTAGAATGGTAATATTCCCTCGAAATCTCGTAGTATATATATCTGTTGCTTCGGAGATATTTATTCCCCAAATAACCCTAAGTGCTAAATGTCAAAACTTGTCTATCACAGTACACGGAAGCAGACTTGTACAAGCAACTCTCATACTTCTGCCGTATATTGGACACAGAATGCAGCTGCCTAGAAAAGGTTTTCTAATAAATGTTTACACTCTCGTCTAGTGTCTCTATTGTGCTATTGATTCGGATGCATATCTGATTCTGATGGGTTGGTGACAATTTGAAATTTGTAGATGGAGGTTGGTGTCAGGCTTCAATTCGAGAAAACAATGGCAAAGGTAAGACCAGTGGCTGCAGCCTCGACAGTACGACGAATAAAAGACAGATGTGCTTATGGATGGTTGCAACTCACAGACATAACCATCTGATCGGTTGTAACTATCCAATCAAAGTAAATGAGTGGATCGTCTGACTACTGATTGATTGTAGGTAACTGACAAATAATAATACATTCTTTTTTTCAGAAGTAGGGGTCGTTCCTTCTCCTCAGCCATTCAGCTGTCCTTTTATGTCCTGAATCATATGGATCACTTGCCTCATTGTAGGCCTTTGATCAGGAGAAGTCACACGGCAAAGGCAGGCCACTTCCGTCAACATGTCCAGCCCGTTTTCCTCCGACGTCTCCTCTTCTTCCCTCGTCGCTCTGACCCAATCCAACATATCATGAGGCGCCATGAACGGGTGCATAGACGGGCTTTTCCCCGTTAAAATCTCAAAGAGGAAGACTCCAAAGGAATATATGTCGCATTTAGGACTGGGTCTCCGGGCTGATTTTCGGATTTCAGGAGCTTTGTAGGACGAGGAGTCGTCATTGTCCGAATAGTCTGATAAGAGGACGAGGCAGTAATCGGTTAGACAGGCCTCGAAGTCTTGTCCGAGGAGGACGTTTGTGGATTTGAGGTTGCCATGGACCAATTCGGATGATTGGTGGTGGATGTAATATAGGCCTTGAGCTACGTCTTCTGCAATCTTCAAACATGATGTCCAATGTAGCGCCTTTGCCCTTGATGATCTTGACCCTTCAATTTTGGGAGGGACATCAAAAGAAAAACGTTAGAATCATCAGAGGAAACTCCTAGGTCGAATCATTTTAAGGAGAGGAAGACACCTTTTGTATATTAACGGCATAGGATTTGTTTCTTATTTTTGGTTCAAATTCGGCATGCTGCAAGGTGTCTAAATGCTCCAAACATGAAAGAATCATGGATCCAACTGTATGCGACCAAAAAAGTATATCCAATAACATACGAGTATTCTTTCTTAAATGTAATTCTAAGATTTCTTCATCCTACTAAAAGGGCATTTCGAAGATGGGCTCTTTTTGTTTGCATTTGCGCACTCTAACACAAAAAAGACCAAATAACATCACGTGAAAACAGCGTAGATTTCCATCTTCCTTGTCTTCTCTCTCCATTAATTCAATGGCAAAGGAGAGAAGATACAAAACAATTAATCATAACCCAGCCATTGTCGCTATGTGATCAGTCTCTCCACTCAGTTTTTCAATAGATAAAAGCTGCACAGACACAACGACCAGACAGAGACGAGTCCACACATGACTTCTGCTTAAATGGGTTACCGCAAAACTAAAGTGGACCATACTATGATTCTTTCTACCAACCGGTAACGGTTATCGACGTCACGGGCAAGACCAACAATAAACTGCTGGAACGATGATTAATGTGGGTATTACTGATACCACGAACTCGGTGGTGGTGGCTCAGTGAGTTCGGAAAACGACAACGGAGGAGAAGAGAAATGGCGTACCGTGAATCAGATTGAAGAGACTGCCATTAGGTTGGTAGTCGTAGACGACGAGTCTCTCTCCGTTGGATCGGAAATAAGCCCTAATCGGCACCAGATTCGGGTGCATGAGTCCTCTAACAATGTCCATGTGGTTGTCGAACGCTTCTTCGTCGCTCCTCTCCGCCGTATGGGCCGGGTCGAACCTCTTCACCGTCACGATCAGCTGGCTGTCGAGCACCGCCTTGTACGTCGTCCCCACCGATCCTCTTCCTAGCAGCTCCGCCGACGCTCGCATCAGCTGCTCGAGGGTGTACACGCCTTGCCCTGTTTCTCCGCCGCCGCAGAACACCATATTCCCGCTCCTTGGGATCCGGTTATGCGGCTCTATGGCTTGAGGCTTCTCCTCTACTTTCTCTCCCCTTTTCTGCGTTTCGAAATTTGAATTCGATATTGGAATGCTTCGTGTGTTCGGAGACTGGATTTGTACTTGGGCGGACGATTCTCCTTTCGGGTTCGGTTCGTAAATTCCGTCGTCTTCATCTCTCCGTTTCTTCATCACCAGCGAGAACACGACGAGGCCGAGACCGAGAACCATCAGCGACGCCACGCCTATGGTGAAACCGAGCACTAAACCGCCTCCATTCTTCTTCTTCGCAGGAGCCACCGGCGGAAGAACCACCACCCCACCTTTCTGCGCCTGCGCGCTTTGCCCGAGCGGGGCATGCGACGATGGTGAAGTGGAGTTCGTCGAACCGAAGAACGGAGAACGCGAAACGCAGGCTCGGTTGATTATCTCTCCACAGAGCCCGGGGTTAAACCAGAACGCCGACGCGTCGAAGCGCGACAGAGTCTGCGTCACCGGGACGGCTCCAGTGAGATCGTTATGGGAAATGTTGAAGGTCATCAGAAACGACTGATTCAGCGGCGGCAGAGTTCCATTGAACTGATTGAACTCGAGATTCAGGGAATTCAGCCGGTCCAGAGCATTGATCTCGGACGGTATCAAACCAGTGAAGTTGTTATACGAGAGGTCGAGCACTGTCAACCGAAGGAGCAAGAGAACCGAGGGAGGGAAAGTTCCAGAGAATCCATTCCGGCTGAGGAAGAGCGATTTGAGGTTGACGAGAGGGGAGAGATCGGGAACCGGACCGAATAGAGAGTTGTTCTCAAGGCTGAGAACTCGGAGCTGGTCAAGGCGACTGAGAGTGGCTGGAGAGAAGAAGCCGCGGAGGCCGACGCCAGCGAGGACGAGGCGGACGATGCGGCCCTGAGCGCACTTGACGCCGCGCCATTGACAGTAGTCGTAGCGCTCAGTGAGGGAGTAGAAGAGCTTGTTGTCGAGGTCGGCGGTGGACTTGAAGGAGAGCAGAGCCACGGCATCGGAGGGCATCAAGGAGTTCAATAAGTTCATCGCCGGCGCCGGAAAGTCGCCGGCGGTGAAGCGGAGGAGAAGGGAGAGGAAGAGAAGAGATATCACTCTCATTTTGTTTATCGGAGATGTTCGGAGTGAATGTACAGTGGACGGGAAAACCGAAAAACAAGACGGGGAGAGACTGTGCCTGTTTGATCACGTGCGACCCTTTTCTTTTGCTCATTTGTGTGTCTCTATAACTTTATATTATTATTATTATTATTATTACTTTATATATTTGAATGAATCATCGATTGCAAATGGACACGAAGAAACACAAAAATGGAAAATCATAGCTTATGCCGGAAACCATGCCTGATTAAAGACTTACTTATCTATTCTATTGTAAAAAAAGATAAAGTTACGAGGAAAAAAAGGACATATGCCAAACTAAAAAGGAAAACTAATATCGGACAGCATCCAAAATCAATTCATATCAATTATTATATATATTCCTACCATATATATTTTTTAAAATAAATTACAACAATTATAAATACCTACATAAGTAATATGAACCTTGCATTTCTTTTTCTTCTGCTTTCTTTAAAAAAAAATAAGGTCAAATAGCTCGTGATTTGAACTAAAATGCATAATAAATCAACCGACCATTAATCACGAGGATTAAAAAACCTTACATCCTCATGAAATAATAACACTACATTAATTAAACCATTGCAATGAAACTGTAACTTTTTTTTTTACTTGAACAAAAAACTGTTTGATATTTGATACAACAAGATCATGCCAAGAAGATGAATGCTTTCTTTCTTTCATTAGCTTCCCATCCTAAAATAATCTAAATAATCTTAACTCGGACAAATCAAAATCAAGGAAAGAAATCAGGCAAGGCAACAAAAAATTTACCTCCCGTTTGATATAAGATTTCAACTCTCCAATTCATTTGCAGTGATTCTTGAATCTTCGGTGTCTATCTTCTTGTAAAGTGGAACTCGTCCTCCTCCGAGCTCTCTCAGCTGATCCACCAGACCGGAGAGGAACTCAAATGTCAGTTTATTCTGAGCGTTAAGCTGATCCCTCACCTGCGGATGAACCTTGAACCAATCTCCCAACATCTTATGGACATGAGACCGAACCATTCTCCATGGAACTGGATACTTCTCACACAACTTCAGGTACTCCACAGCTAACCCGCCCTGGTCTAATTCTCCATCTACAAATCTTTCTTCACCACCCGACAACGCCCATTCAGCTGTTCTAAACCCTGCAAACATGGCAGGATTCTCCAGAAGTGTCTCGGCCGAAAGAATGCCTTCCACACCTGTCTCTTCAATGCACTTCTTGGCATCTTCCAAATGTCGAACATTTCCATTCGCAAGAACGGGGATCTTGACAGCGTTCTTGACAGCCCTGATAGCTTCCCAATCTGCCCGGACCTTCTTCCCGTCTTTCTGATCTCTTGTTCTGCCGTGCACTGCCAGTAACGAGCAGCCAGCGTTTTCTAGCATCTTGGCATAGTTTAGGGTGTCCTCGAGGTTTGGAAAGATCCGGATTTTGCAGGATACAGGCACACGAAGATTCTGAGCTAACTTCTCAACGAGTGATTTCACGAGCGGAAGATTATCCATCAAGAATGCACCATAGTTTCCTCGCCTGGCAATACGCTGTGGACACCTGAAACGAAAGTATTTGATACGAATAGCTGAAGGGAATTCAATGAAGAGAAAATGGCGTAATACCCAACACTCAGTGTCCTAAAGACCATATCCAACTATTCCAAGTAAACCACATTGCATTTCCAAAATTCCAATCTTTGTTCATTGTTCTGAAGAACTGTTATGGATTAGAAGGACAAAGAACGAGATTTACCCTAAATTGATATCAACATAGTCGCAGTAAGGCTCAACTCTCCTCGCGGCTTCCAATAGCGTCTCAGGATCATTAGCACAGAACTGCACAAACAATGGCCTGTCCTCCTACAATTTCAAAACCCAGAAATTCTATGAACCCAAAATCCAAAAAAAAAAGCTTAAGAAACCTTGAAAATTAAACGAAGGAGCTCTAGTTAGTTACACTGCAGGTGGTGAATTCCTGGCTCCGATACTTTTCGTTCTCGCTGAAGATCCTCGAGTGCAACATCGGAGTATACGCCGCCGTAGCTCCATACTTCCGACAGAGCATCCGAAACGGCAGGCCCGAGTTGTCCACCATCGGCGCAACAATGAACTTCGGTCGACCCAGTTTCGTCCAGTGAGCCCAAGCTCGCTCCACCGGGGTCTCACTGCTCAAGACCCGACCCGGATAACCCAAACTCACCGGCGCCAGATCCACCTCCCGTTGCTGCTGCTGCTGCTCAGAGCATAGGAGATCATCGAGGTCCTGAGACGGATCCGGGTTGGTACTCGGGATATGGGTCATGGTACCGGTCTGGACAACGAAAGATTCCCGGGTCCGAAGAAATCAGAGACGGGAGAGATCCGACAGGTTTAGTTTCATGAGACGACGGGAGACAAACCCATCGCCACCGTGATTAGGGATCGAAGCAAAAGGAAACAGAAAATTGGGTTTTTTTTTAAACCTAAATAAAACTTCGACTCATATGTTTATGTTAAAAAAAACCCACTTCTTAAAACAGCTCAAATTTATGATGAAATGGTAACCCGGTAAGTGATGTGGCAATATTGACATTTGACCGGGTTTTTTTACTCAAATGTGGCAATATTGACATTTGACGTACACCATCGAAAAAAAAACAAATTTTTTTTTTTCAATTTTAACCCATTTTTCGGTTAAAAAAGTCTGAAATACCTTTTTTTTTATTTTTTGCGACCTTATTACGACTAAATATAACTGATATACAACTAAAATAAGACAGATGATTTTTTTGCCACCTTTTTTAGAATCAATTGTAACTTTTTTACCATTTTTTTTAGAATTAATTACGAAATCGTAATAACGAAGTTGTTTTCGAATGGATAAATATTGTATATTCATTAAGGGTAATTTCGTCTTTTCAAAAAAAATTAATGTGTTATGTTTTTTGTGGTGTACGCGTGAAATAGCTGTGACCCAAGGGGTCATTTGAGTAAAAAACTCCATTTGACCGGGTTAGAGAAAATTCAAAAAAACCGGAGTAAACCGGTTTGTTAACAAAATAAAAATATTAGGGATCTTCTCTCTGACTTCATTCTTATCGCTTCTCCGATCGTTGTCGACCGAGCTCGTTTCTACAACCCAGAGCTTCGTTTTTGGTTAATGTTGTGAGTATCATATGTGTGCTCGGCACATATATGCCGATTGGGGGAAACCTTCATGAAGGTAAATGTGGTTAAAGACTAACATTTGTATGGTTTTGCAGGTGAATATGAACGACATTTGAAGCACGCCTTGGGACTTCACCTAGGCAATGGTGTAAGGCTTTTTTTCGGACAGATCCACATTCTAAACAATATGTCTACCAAAACTGCTCGACAATTGATATGGTTGAATACATTCGGAGGCAGACTATGTCAAGGGTATCTCAAAGGTTAAAAGAAGGTACGTTGATGTGATACTGAACTTACTCCCTATGCTACCAAGGAATTGAAAATAATCAGGCCATGACCGGATTATGTACTTCTATTCCGAGCGGTTGGATCGGCCGGAGAAGAGAATCAACAGCCTGGCAACCGGGGTAGACAAATTCTTTTTTGGTTTTCAATATACTCTTTTGTCAAATTGTAGGAGATGTCTTATCCAATATTAATCATTTCCATCTTTAGTTTTCTTTTTTAGTTTTCAATATACTCTTTTGATGCATTTTCTTTGGTTGAGAATCAGACTACAATTACAACAAACCCTTGATAAGCATTCTTAGAACTATAAACTCAAAGCATCAAATAAGACTATAAAACAAGTTACTTCAATAGAAGTCGGTTGTTGGCGAACGCGATCAAATAGCAATGATACTGGATCGACCACGTGATGTCGCTCAAGGCTGCAAACCAAACCAAACAACAATTCAGTAACATTTCAAACAAAATAGCCCGCATGGACACTTGTAGAAACAAACCTTCGCCGGATTAATATTCTGTGTTGTAATGATGTAGAAGGCAACATAAGCTTATCCTGAAAAAAGGGATCACACTCAATCAACCGTTAATCTTTACCAACATTAATCTTCTGGCTGTCAAGGTATCAACAGATTATGTGTGATGCTTGTTTTTCCTAGATGAAAATAAAGTTAAAACACATATTCTGACCCACATAATTGACCGCAAAACCAAACCCATAGAAAAACGACTCGTACCGAAAATATTTTACAAACAAAAGATCATGCAGATCTTGATATCGTTTCTTATCAAACACTGCAACGAAATCCTTGCGCAATATATCAAGAGCAGTACACTACACGTATCTGGCCTAGCCTACAATACAAAACACAACAAGTTATGAAAGACCCAAGAAACAAAAAAAATCGCAAACAAAGAAGAAAAAAAATTACCTAAACACTGCTTCAAGATACTTCTATCTGTAGATTTCGTAGAAAATCTCGTTAGAATTCCGAGAATTAGTAAACCCTAACATGTAACTCTCCACGCGATCTCAATCACCCGATAGTACAGAACCTCCGAAGAATTCGATATCAAAGAAGTAACCCGATTTTTGCTTTAACCTATACGAAATAAGAAAACGGGTATAAAATTTAGGAGAATCCGTTAACAAAGAATGAAAATAACTTACAGGTGAGCTGTTTCCATCAAATTGACTTCTCTGAAGTAACCGAGAAGGAAGAGCACATGGTTTCGATCGGCAGAATACATTGTCGAAGCTAAAGTCGCGAATCGTTGGGCTGAAGTTTGGACGGTTATTTTTTTGTCTATGTATTCTACAGAGAAAGTAAAGGAAATGGAGGAGGAGAGAAAAGTCATGGGCACCGGTAAACGTAAAAATCACTGGGCTTTTTTATTAGGATAAAAACCCTAAAAAATCTGGAACTTGCTAAAATATATATTTTAGCAAGTTTAAATAAAAACTTTACAAGTTGAAAATTTATTTGTATATATTTTAACAATTTCGAGATTTTTTAGAGATTTTATCCTTTTTATTATCATTAAAAAATCCAGCATTTTCATGATAACTGTCATTCGCTCTTATATTTTTCCTTTCATAATTTTTTTTTTGGAAAAGAATATTCATTTAGATCTCATGGTACCTTGGACAAGCTCCGTGTAGGAAAGCACTAAGGGCCATGATTTTCACTCTTGTTGAGTATGAAACTTTCATGCACCAAAACGTTGTCGCGAAGAAATGCTAAGTTAAATATACTCGAGCTATTTAACCTATTATCCACTTATTTTAATTTTTCAAATTATAAAATCAATTAATCTCTATCAATTCATCTGCCAAAATAATGTCATTATTGCTATTCCCCCATTGAACGGTTTCTCTCTCTCTCTCTTTTTTTGTGTTTGATCGATCTTAATTAAATTGACTTGGGTTTCTGACCCAAAGAAGAAGTATTACATTGGGGTTTTACTTAAGGGCCCAAAGGTATCTAATCCATTATCCATTAAGGGGCCTAAAGGGTTATCTCGTTTTAGCCAGTCCAATTTCGATACATAGGCATTTATTTACTTATTTATTTAAAGGTGAACATTTTAATTTTTTATTTATGAATGCTGGGAGCGGAAATCAGGAAATATATTGGAAAATACGGATTTATTACTTTTATAAGAAAATATTAATTTGAATACCCGAATGAACAAATGTTCAAGAAAATATTTATATGTGTGAAACTATATCTTTGGGCTTGTAAAAAGTTCTCTTTTATACCCTAAATACTGAAAATAAAAGGCATCATTATTTGTTAATAATAATAATAATAATACAGCAAAGCATAGCTTTGGTTTTCCACACATACAAACCCATGAGGAGATAGAAAGGAAGGGATATCCAATACTTGTGAATTTGGATATTCTCAAGTCTTGCTTGTGATATTGCTCGACAACCAGTCAAGTCCCTCGTAGAGTCCTTGGCCCGAGGTTGCACATGTAGCCTGAATATACCTTTATTAAATTTTAAACCAACCCAATACAACAAAAAAAAAAATCGTTAGAAGAAAAAAAACCGAAATTGAATCGAATCGAATATCCGAAAATTATTTGTTTTACCAACGGCGTAGACGGAGGGAATGAAGGCCGAGTTTATCTGTGATCTCCGACACCGTCATCGCATTTGGCAAATCTTGCTTGTTCGCAAACACAAGTACTGTTGCCTCTCGTAGTTCCTCCTTTTACCATTACAGACAGTTACAGTAAAAAATTAAAAATCTTAGGTTTTAATTACAATAATAGTATCATATATATATATATATATATATATATATATGACTAACGTTGTAACGTTGTACCTCACTGAGCATCCTATGGAGTTCGTCCCTTGCTTCGTGGATTCTCTCTCTGTCGTTGCTATCCACCACATATATTAGGCCTTGTGTGTTTTGGAAGTAGTGTCTCCACAACGGTCGAATCTTCACGTGTTTTCAAATTCATATAAATCAATTAGAACACAAAAATAGTCCTAATTTAGCCGTTAGCTACATTTACATACATATATATGTGTATGTATATATATGAGTTGTCGAAAACATGTTTTTTTTTCCCAAGTATATGGGCCGCAAACCTTGTCTTGACCTCCAACATCCCAAACGGTGAAGCTCACGTTTTTGTACTCAACAGTCTCTACATTAAACCCTGGTCCAACCAAACCCAATTATGTTATCACATAATAACTACAAAACCCAAACGAAAAGCGTTATATATAATAGTTATAACCGTGTCAATATAGTATCATATAGTGATTTGTTGATGGACGGTCCACGGATCTATATATATAAAAGCTATTGCATGGGTCTCAACTCAACGAAAAAGAGAGAGTACCAATAGTGGGGATGGTGGTGACAATCTCTCCGAGCTTGAGCTTGTAAAGGATGGTGGTTTTGCCCGCAGCATCAAGACCCACCATTAGTATCCTCATCTCTTTCTTTGCAAATAAAGATCTTAACATTCTTGATATTGCCATGCCCATCTCTCTACCCTCCCCAATTATCACAATACACAAAAGAAAAAAGAGATATTGTATTATAGTATTATTACGATCCAAAATATATTAAGTTTGATCATAGAGTTCGATGGCTATTTTTGTACCAATGAGTTACCTTGTCGTTGTATGGTAAGATTGATAGAAGAACGAATGGAAATGAACCGAAGAGACGTACCTTCAAGTGGAGATGCAAAATGAGCAAAAAGTAGTAGAGAGAAAGTAGGGATGATGAATGGCTTCTTATGGTGCAGAGACCAATGAAGAGAATGAGGTTCTGTTTGGATCAGGATTCCATAAGAATAATAGACTTTATTCTAAATATTTTTATTACTGTTGTTTATTAATTATTATGTTCTTTTCATTTCTTGTTTTTTCTGTCTTCATACGATTATATGGAAATGATTTTATATATATATAAAGATTCCACCTTTACACGGTTGCTACATGGGATATTTTGGAGATATATCACTGATCTTGTTGTTCAAGTTATCATGTCTATAATTCTAGGCCGGAAAAAAAAAATACAAATACGCTTAAAAAAATTATATATAATTAAAACACGATAGTGTAAAAAAATAGAATATTTCTTTTTATGCTCGTTTCTCGGTTAATTCTTGGAGATGGCATCCTTGGCAGATTGAAGGGTGGAGGCGACGGCTGCGGCGGCTCCGACCAGAACGCCGCCGCTGGTGGTGGGATGAGAGTGATGAACCACTTTTACGTTCCTCTCCTCCACACCCTCTTTCCCGGCCGACGACCTGTATTCCCTTGTCTCCACCACCTCCTCCTCCTTTCCATTCTCTCCACCTCCACCCTTTAAAACCAGAGTTGAAAAAACCTTATGTATTATTGATAACAAATGAGTTTAAATATACAACGTAACTTACTCTCATCAAAATTAAAACTCATATGGAAAAAAATCATTTGTTTTAGAGAATGTTATGAATATTATGATTCAGAAAAAAAAAATGAAAGGATTAAACTTTGGATCTCTAAATTTGTGTAATGCGATGAAGACGGTGGATATGGATTCCCGTGACAAGAAAAAAACAAATCTATAAGACGGACGGAGCGAGCACGTACCCTCATGGATTGTACATTCATATCGACCAAAGAGAATAAACAGACAAACAAACAAACCCAAAGTAGTTTGGTTATTGGTGACTCACAAAAAAAAATGGAAATTTAAATCAAAGAAAGAAGGTTTTTAAATAGCAAAATAAAGGCAAATTAAGTTATTTATAAATCAGTCCGTTTATTGCGTTTGTCTATTTGAAAAATGGTTGGTTATCCTCAGGAGGTGGAAGGAAATCCTTGGCTCATGCTCCCTTCTCCATTTGTCACGTCCCCGGGATTTCATCGTTGGAATTGTTCAGGTGCCTTTACATTATTATCAGTGGTTTTTCATGTTAGAAAATAATTCCATTAGCCAAGGTGGTTGGCTCAACTGGTAAGTGGTTATGCGCAAAGAGTGTTCCACCCAAATTCGAACTTTACCCTTGACAAATCACATATTATCAAAAAAAAATCATTAGTAGTCTAATAATTGTATTATTTTAATTGAAAGTTGTAACTACTAATTTCAATAATTTTCTGATACAAAAGTTACCATAAGAAGTGAATTTGGAACTAAGCAACACTTCAGAAAATGAGAGATTTAGTTTAAAAGCGCTTAGCTTATTGATTCAATTCAACAACAATAACTTCAATGGTCAGAGATATGTAAGTTAAGATTCAGTAATTTTATTTATGTATTATGATTATCCATATGTTATAAATGAACATATTTGATAGTGATTAAGAGTTATTCGTACAGTCGTTATCAGAACAGTTGAATTGTTGAAATTTTTTATATCATCGGATACAATTAGCAATTTGAGATTCCGACATCCTAAGCATGCAGTTCATAACCCACGTAGAGATTTGGTTTAGGATTCATATATCGGAAGGTAAATCAGCAAAAATGGGACCGTGACCCGCTTCGAATAAATCCAGGTATGGGTTTAATTTCCGGTCTCCAAATCTGGACTTATTCACACTTTTTAGATCTAAATTTAACGAAAATTAAATCCCTAAAAGTCATAAATTAAATCCAATAATTGAACAAACGTCCACATCATTTAAAAAAAATCAACGATGAAAAGAAGAAGAGAAGAAAAACACAAACTATTAGTCAATTTCTAAGTACAATATCGGGTTATTAAAATCTCATAACAATAATTATTATTCACTATTGACCAAAAAAGGGAGAGAGGGGAAATCTGTCCAGAACATGCAAGGCATCCTTCATGGAGGGCCTTCGCTGAGGGATGGGAGAAGCACAGGCCAGGCCCATTTTAAAACAGGCCCAAACAGCCTCCTCTTTCCCCTCTAGCTCGGCCCGTATCGACCCATCCACCATCCTCATGGCCCGCTCCTTCTCCTCCACCGTCACCCCGTTCGCCTGCCCTTCATCGTCCACCCCTATTATCTTCCCCGTCAGCAGCTCCAGCATTATCACACCGAACGAGTACACGTCCCATTTCGGGTTAGGCTTCAACGTCCGGAGAGATTCCGGGGCGTTGTAAGGTGCCGAGCAGACCGAACTTGGGCTTGGGCTTGGGCTTGGTCCTGGCCCATAATCATATGCTGATGTTGATCTCTTGCTCCCGAATATCCGAGCCGACCCACCTGGTCTATAGCTCGTGTCCCCGGTCAAAACCCTCTCCAGGCCGAGATCGGATATTTTGGGCTCCATATCAAAGCCCAATAGAATATTACTGGGCTTGAGATTCCCATGTACGTGCTTCTTCTCGTGGATGTACGTTAGCCCACGCGCCACCCCTCTTGCTATCCTGAGCCGAGCCACCCACGGTAGGTGACAAGGGGAGGAGCCCACCTTCCCTAGATATGTAAAGAGACCAGTAAATTAGATAATGATAGGCACGCGCACGTTAGCAAGAATTACATCTATTTTAAATTTTTAACATAAGAAAACAAAGAAACCATCTCTTTCTTTGTCTAATATAAGGTTTGGGCTAACACTGGTGCTATGAGGAGAGTCGCTATCATACTCCGGGAATTCGCCGTTGACTCCCCTCCATCCATTAACCGACAAAATTTTAGTTGAACCTACTCTGACCTAGCCACATTCACTCTACCGCTTACGTTAGCCAATCAACCCGTATTTCACTACCGTTCGCGTCATCGTTAATAAGTGGATAAAATGACGGAAAAGGACTTACTGTAACGGGCGTTAGCGAGACTGCCGTTAGGAACGAAGTCGTAGATAATGAGCTTCTCGTCGGTGCCAAAGTAGAATCCCCGAATACGTACCAGGTTTGGGTGAACCAGCTTGGCGATAGCTCGAACCTGAGTCTCGAATTCCCTGAAACGGTCCAAGCCGGACTCGCCGATGCGTGTTATGAATATTATGATTCAGAAAAAAAAAATGAAAGGATTAAACTTTGGATCTCTAAATTTGTGTAATGCGATGAAGACGTCGAACCGCCACAGCCGAACCATCCTGAAGAACCGCCTTGTACATTATACTCGAACCGGTGGCTCCCAAAATGTACGCCGACGCTTTGAGAAGGGTCTCGAGCTCGAGCTCCTCCGAATCAACAACGTTCACGAATGTCCCTTTCTTGTCCTGATCGCTCTCTCCCCGCCGTTGATTTCGCCCAACCCGGTTTTCTTCGTCGGGTTCGGATCCCGTGGTTTCGGACTCGTTGTCACCGTCACCGTTAACGGCTTTGCGTAGACATGACCATCCCGCGAAGCCTTTGGAATCGGATGAATAGGATGACGTGGACCATGTATCTTTGACGGCGTTAGTTTCTCGCTTTAGCGTATCCGCCACGATTCTCTTCTTCTTTGACTGGTAAAAATAGAAAATTACGATCCCCAGGATCGCTATCCCGGCGATATCTCCGACGATGATTCCAACGATGATCCCGGGTTTCAGACCCGGTTTAGGGTTTGACCCGGATTCCGTACCGTTCGGGTAATCTGTTAAGGGATTTGAGCCTATGGTTTTCGGAATAGCGGCTAAGGCGGGAGGAGAAGACGGGGAGGAGACGTTCGCCGTCGTCTGCGGCGCCGGCGGCGGAGGAGGGGAGGATTTTTGGCAGGATTGTTGTGTCGAGTCGGATCGGCAGAGACCCGGGTTGCCGAGGAAAGACTTGAATGCGTTGTTTTCGAAGACCCGGAAGTTAGGGATTTGACCCATGAGGTCGTTAAATGAGAGGTCCACGGAGGCGTTCTCAGGGATTTCATCGGCGAATCCCGGCGGTATTTCCCCGGAGAGTCGATTGTATGAGACGTTGAGATACCGTAGACGGTTGCCTCCAAAATCCGTCGGGAGAGAACCATTGATGAGATTCGAAGACAGATCAAGGAACTCAGCGGTCCTAAACCCTCCCGGAATCTCGCCGGAGAAATAATTGTTCTTCAGTGAAACAACCGTCAAGTTCCCAAGCGAAGATATACTCGCCGGCAACTTCCCGACGAGAGCGTTGTCCGAGAGATTCAGCACCTGAAGATTCTGTAGCCCGCCAAAACTCACCGGTAACTCGCCGGAGATCAGATTATTCGACAGATCAAGAAACCGAAGCTCCGTGGCGTTGAAAAGTGAAACCGGCAAAGAACCATTGATGGAATTGTTGGAAAGATCGAGTCTTTGGAGCGCAGGGAGAGTGCCCAGATCGGAAGGGACGGAACCCAGGAGGGAAGAGCTCGGTAGAGACAGGGCGGTCACGTGAGAGGAGTTATCGCACGTGACGCCATGCCAGGAGCACGGCGTGATGTCGTCGTATCTCCAGGTCTGTAAGGTGGAGAGAGGGTCGTCGACGACGGAGTATCGGAAAGAAAGGAGGAGAACGCCGTCGGTGTTGAGGGCAAGAGAGGGAACACAGAGAATGACGGATAAAACGATGGCTAAAGGTAAGTTTCCTGGCCAGAAATGGCGGCGGAGATCGACGGTTTTCATGGTTCGTCTGGCTGTTGCATCGTCTCTGTCTATGGTCACTGAGAGAGAGAGAGAGAGAGAGAGAGAGAGAGAGATTTATGGTCACAGACTCACAGAACAAAAGCCATGTGAGAGGGAAGTATTTAAGGGTTAATTCTTGATTTGCAGACCAAAATGCTTTGGGGGTGATGGACTGTGTAGTTAAATGCAGTCCAATACACTAAATATTATAAGTTAGCAGGTCAATGTGTAATGCAAAAAATTAAATTAATTGCTTAGAAAACATGAGATAACGTTGGAGGGATTTATTCTCGATTTATGGAAAAAATCGTATAAAAGCCTTAATCAGTTCTATTTTTTTTCCCATATTTGATATATCCAGCTAAAACCCACCATAATTAATTTTGTTGTAAGTATTAATGAAATTTATACAGTATTACTATTAACATATTCATAACTATATATCAATGTGTATGGTTATCCCGAAAACGTTCCCACGTTCCAAAACCGAGTGACGTGAGAATATGGCTCATGTGATATATACACAGAGTTTTTATATAGAATAATCAAATGAGAAGGAACATGAAGAGATGGAGGAATAGTATCTTTGTAATGAGACATACACATAAAGACCGAATTTTGCAGGGTCTCTCATTGACTTAGATTCACTTTCATTCGACATTTTCATTTTTTTAATAAATTTAATGTTGTCACCCGCGAATTAAATTTGGATTATACACACTGACAGATAGCCGTCCTCGTCTTCCCCTTCACACACACACAACTTCGACACCACATCCATTTTACCTTCGACACAAAACAAAGATTTAGCATTAAATAATAACTTTTTTTAAAATGTTTATACGAATAATATTAAATAAATGGATGCGACACTAACCTTTTATATAAATAAATATTAAATACACTTTGTATTATCCTTCGACATAACTTATAAAGACACGAATTACGTGTGAGCTAACTAAATTTCATTCCACTTATAAAGACACTCTTTATTTATTATATAAAAAGATACACACTATCAAACCTAAATGATTATCTTCCGCAGATGTTTGTTGTATCAAATTTATTACAATATTGTTTGTACTACAAAAATCATTTAAGATTATCACAACGTCTAGTTTGCCACCTTTTGATTACGAGATAATCATGTTGTTTGTTTTACTATTAGCTAATTGCATATGCATGCATGTATGTATGTATGTATGTCAAATTTGTGATATTGAATTAAAATATACGAATTTATGCATTATATAGGTGCATAGAAATATAATATTATTTTCGGTTAGGATGCAATTAAAAGGTAAATATTTTAAGTAATGATTTGGGGTAGCTTTTGGCAACTTGATGACTATTATTATGATTTATTATGGCGATTAAACACAATTAGATAATTACGACAATAGGGTCGACAAGTCCATAATTGATGAATAACACGCACACACAAAATGTCATTTGCTTTGTTGAGTGGTTGGATTCCTCACTTTGCATCTACTTTTCGCCGAGGAAAAAGAGGAGATAAATAAATGTATCATGAAAAGAGCATCCCTTTTTTTTTACCTAAAATAAATAATAATTTTAAAATATATATATATATATACAGATTTATGCGTGAATGAATACAGGCATTATTATTGTATTCCACTGACTAATTAATATAGCACATTTCAATATTTACTTTCCCTAATAAGCATTCGAAGTAGAGAGAGAGAGAGAGAGAATCCTAATTTATCCACTCGGAGAGTAATTTAATGCCGCGCTCCTTTATAATAGAAAGATATTAAAAAAATAAAACCTGTTAAAAAGTTTTGAAAACCAAAATAGAGTAAAAGCCATAGCACCAAAGGTGAAAAGCTACAGAATAATTAAAATGCGTTGGTTTTATTACGGGGGGCGGTCCCCATGGTCAATGTAATTATGTAATTAGTGAAGACAGCTGCATCAAAGTTGTAGGTAAAAATTTGTTAAATTATTAATTCGTTAGTGAATTTATTATGTATTCATGTATGGCTGGGTGTCGTATAAAGATAATTAATTTGTTATAATTTATTTTATTGTCGGTGTGTGAAAAAGATTTTTTTTTAAAAAAGTGCAAAAAGAATAAGATAAGGAACATGGTTCCTTGTCCCCGTGGGCAAAGGGAAAGCAATGGAATTTCTAGAATAAAATCTCAAGGTGATGTCGGAAAATTTTATTATCCTCCCCACTTTGCAAACCTTAACCGGTAAGAATACTTACCCTGACAACTTGGCTGGGATTGGAATGGACGATCGACCCGGGTTGCACATAATATCCGAAAAACCGAATCGATATGTTATATCCGAATTTTTGGTTCGGATACGGATATTTATTTTAAAATATTTATCGGATAAAGATATCAAATTCGAAATATCCGACATATCCGATCCGATCCATATTGTTTTATATTTATATGTTTTGTATTTATAAAATGTTTTATATTTATATGTTTTGTAGGGATATTCAAGAAATATTTTATATATATTGAGATTTAGAACGTTTAATATTTTGAATATTAAAATTTATTATGTTTAATTTTTTGAATTTTGAATTTTCAATATATTTATATATGATAGATTATGATTATATTTATATTTGAATTGATTTAAAATATTAAATTATGAATTTTAAATTGTGGATAACATTTATATTAAATAATTTATATAATTTATTTATATTTAAAATTGTTATTTAAATTTGAATTAAATTTTTACTAATTTTTTTATACCGGATACGGATATTGGCAAATATCCGCGATATTTACGAACATTCGAAATTACTGATATCCGTAAATTATAGATCGGATACGGATAATAAAATTGAGGATTTGTACGGATTGGATACGGATACAGATATCTCAAAAATTACGGATAACCGATCCGTGTCGACCCCTACCCATTAGGTAAGATAACTGCGGAAATTTGAAAATAAAAACGTGTACCCGATTCATAATCGTTTATAATCTCGATTGGAATCACATAATATTGTTCTTGGTTCAGTGGTTGAAATCTGGTTAAAAGCACATAATATTGTTTTATCACAATTGGAACTCAACATAAGGGCCCTCTTATATTATTAAGCCCTTTTTACGGCTGGTGAACCGGGAAGGGCTGAACCGATCAAGGTCGACAATGGTGGCAATCCCATCTACAATGAGCTCAGAAAGGGCAGCACCGGTGGCCGGTCCGTTCAGAATGCCCCAGCAATTGTGACCAGTGGCTACATAACAGCCCTTGAGCCCAGGGATCTCACCGATTACGGGGACCCCGTCGTCTGTGCACGGCAAGAAACAAGCTTGCTCGGCCTTCACTTGCGCGTTCTCTTCCTTCAGATGGCTTGATACGTTTCTGGCTACTTCCTTCAGAACACGGATCGATTCGGGATTGCCGGTTATTTGATCTGGATCGTCTGGTACCTCTTCCTTTGTTGTCATCCCGCACAAATACACTTCACCTGTCACAACCACCAGCTCAATTACTCGTACTCGATTCTCAAAGGTTCCCTCGAAATCCATCCCGAAAGATTAACAATCGACCACCATAAAGAAACTATCAACCTTCCAGGTAACTAGAGATTTCAGAAGCAAAAGAACCAGACTTTTCACAAACCCAGATAAGAAGTCACGCCAAGGAATCTAAATCTAGCCGAGAAATTACCTGTCGGACGAGGATAAACTTCTGGGTCCATAGGTTCACCACCACGAGAAGAACGATAACTAAGGACAAGCGCGTGAGGTGTTATGGCGTTTGGTTCCTTAGGTTCCAGAACAATGCTATGAGCTTTCATACCATAAACCCTAAACATCGATGCCAAAAGCTCGAATTTACCGGACCATGGCCCCAAGGCCAAGACAACCGCGTCCGTGTCGATGACTCGCCCACCCTCCAGCACCACCGATTCAACTCGCCCTCCTTCAGCCTGTACTCGATCCACTTTCCCGACGACCACATCAACACCGTACTTCTCCGTCGCCGTAGCTAATAGCGTCCTCGTGAAGAGTTGAGGATGAACCTGTGCCGTAGTTTGGGTCGTTCCGATCGTTGATGGGCTCTTCGCCGGACCATCGACCCACGATGGCAGACCCTTCCCGCCAGAGCCGGAGCTAGACTGAGATTCCGTCACGGTCACGCTCAGTGTCGTGAGGGGTCTGTACCCGTACAATTCGGCACCGTTTAACTCCTCGGCCAGGGAACGGTGGAGGTTAAAGCTGGCGCGTGCGAGGGACTCGACAGGACCGTTGTCGCACCAGTCGAGAGCGAGAAAGCCGGCGGCTTTACCGGAGGCAGCGCAGGCGACGGCGGATCTCTCGACGAGGGTGACGGCGGCGCCCTTCTTGGCGAGGAAGTACGCCGAGCAGACGCCGATGACTCCACCGCCGCAGACCACGACCCGCTTGGCCGTCTCGTTTTGCGGGTTCATCTCGGTCGATTCCGATGAAGAATAGCAAATCCAGACCGTTGGTTTCTCAAGGATTCCAAATACACACCGTCGTGGCAGAGGAAATTGTCGGCAAAATGGGGAGAGGAATAGAGATGATGACGTCAGTGCAATCGCGAGATGTTTCCCGGATGAATCGCGCCGGACGCGTGTTTCGTACGCGACAAGAAGTTTGTTGTTCTCATTTTTGGGCCATTAAATGGGCCCAAATTATGCCCACACGAGAAATATGAGAACTACAGTTTCTTTTTTTCTCTTTTTTGTTTAATTGCAGTACTAGTCCTGATCTTATTTCACTTTTCGTTTAACACTAATATATATATATATGTATATATATAATGGGGGATATGAGCATTTAAAATATGTCATATAACATTTTAAATTTATGGATTTATAATAGGTCCCAAAAAAACACACAAATGGAGATATAACATTTATTGTTTATTAATTCTATAGTATGGGAAAATTTCACAAACCTATAATGATTTTTTAGGGTTTATTAGAAAGGAGCGAATATCTGCATGAATACTATGCTTTTCCCGTTTTGATAAAGATTCATTTCGTACTACTGTATCAACTTGTAAACGGTTACATTTCTAGTATAATTCCATAAGAAAGTTCTAAAGTACATTCCCCCCTGAAACGAGTTTTAAGGTTTTTATGAATTTTCGTCCACGTAAAATGTGGATTTTAAGAATGGAATAAATCGTAACCACGTATTCTCAATCGCGATAACTAATTAACGAGATATTAGGAACAAGACAGAGGCTGGTGTGAATATAAGCGTGACAGTAGGCTTAGACGTGGATATAATCCAATGGTACAAGTGGATACGGTCGCGACAACTGTAGATTCTGTCCATCGTGTCAAATTAACTGCTTTGCCGCATTTTTCACGTGCGTCCAATCGGATACTGTAACGCACGCACACACACATATATATATATATTGTATATTCATGCAATTGAAAAACATAGAATGTATTTTTTTTTGTTGAAAAAACGTTTTTTTTTTGTTAACATGGGGAAACAATTACGTACACATGTATATGTTATGGTTATGTGTCCAAATATAGACACGCTTCTTCTGTCTGTGTGTTAACTAGGTTGGAATTTTTTTTTTGATAACGGATGACCCTAACTGCTATCATTCGAACGCGTTGACTAGGTAAATCTCCGGCTCGGGAGCAGTATTTGTATATGGATCATATAAATTTAGAAATTACCTCCCTCCCCATCAGTTAGGAATCGAACACTCAACTTCAAAATGAAGTTACCTCCTACCCCAAACTTGACTACTCGTCCACGATCTGTTGGGTAACTAGGTTGGAATGTTTATTAGCTTAACAAAAAATATCACATGAATCAAATATAAAACGGAGGGATTCGACCATTTTGTCATTGCCACCGTAACCAACGCATAATTGAAATATTTTATCATGTTTTGTGTATAAATATTCCAAAACAAACGTTTTCTAATTGTCTATTTTGGAGTGACACAAATAAACCAATTGGTCATCATATTTGTTTTTTTTTCAACACCGACTATCAACCATCCGCTATAAAAAAAAATATTAAAATCTCTATATGCAAAATTAAATTTCCTCAGACAAGAAAAAAAAGATGAATAACTAGCAGACAGGAGCCGACACCAATGACACGGATATTCGAAGCCAACGGCCAAAAAAAATGTTTTAAGCTCGCAACGATTAATATAAATTAAACACATGTGTATGCGCTTATAATCAAAAGGCACGCCATCCTGTTCCCTCGACAATAACATATATAATTATAGTACCGATGATAATTGCGTCAATTTCATGTATTTGAATTATACATAATGACATTGGACCGTTTATAACATGTAATGAATTTACGCGAATCTTGGAGGTTCAGGTTCCTTGACATGTATGAGACGGTCCAAGACATATTTTACTAAAAGAGAAAATACAACTTAAGTTATTTCGTGTTACCATACAAGAGATATGAAAACTCAAAATAGTAAAATATTTTTGTTGCAACGTCTAACGACATTTTAAAAAAAAAGGATCAATGGGAGTTTTTATTAATGAAGGGTGGGACCAACTATTGACATGAGGAGCTTTGTTGTTTAAAAAAAAAAACCGTTGGAGGAAGCTTATAAGGAAGGTGCAAAGGCGTTGGGGCGTATAAGAGTAGTTACCGACCTACCGGTACCGTACAGATCAAGAGAGGGTAACAAAGATTACGACCGACACGTGGCGCATTCTAAGTGGACGCCTGCTTGGGCTCTGATGAGATTTACAGGCTGGATTTTCGCGAGAATAATAAGGCTGTTGATTTCGCGTTCCAATTCGGCAACCTGCTTTGTCGTTTTCCTCCACGTCAGCCACTCCTATCTTTGTTGTGGCCGCTTGGTTTTCATCATTTTTCTCAAACGGTGCGAAAATTATGTTTGCATGAATATAAATATAAATTTTATATATACATGTATAAGTAACCATTTTGCATTTGGAAATTAAATGTTTGGAAATTTTGTAACTAGAAGCAAATAAGGGTGGGACGTCAGATGTGGATTACAGGCTGTCATTAGTCAAAAGACCACATAACCAAAACTGTCCTTGGCCAAACCTAACCGTTATCGTCTTTATTTCAGATATTTACTTTATAATTATATATCGCTGCGTTCCAAGTTGGGTCGTGATTTTTCTCTAACTCCCATGAACAACACTCTCAGCCCGCGCGTGAATCCACCGCATTCTCTTTAACACACAATGAGTGAGTCCACGCGCCACCGTACGAATGCAGTGGAAAGAAGTTTGAGCGCTAAAGACAAAAACAGAGAGAACAGAAACGGCACATCAACGAAGTTAGATGTCGACGCGTGTCCATTTACAGCTGTATCCCATACTTGCCAACCGGCTCAGCCGGTCTCCGGTTCTCCCTTCCTGTATAAATATATATTTTCCTTTTTCTCTGAGTTCTCTGCATCTCTCTCGCTTAACAGAGATTAAACCGATTAAAAATAAAAAGGTCGAAGCTTTTAAGTTAAGAAGATTCAAATCTATGGCCGATCGGATTAAGGGTCCATGGAGTCCGGAAGAGGACGATCAGCTGCGGCGTCTCGTGGATAAGTACGGTCCAAGGAACTGGTCGGCGATAAGCAAGTCGATCCCTGGTCGGTCGGGGAAGTCTTGTCGGCTACGGTGGTGCAACCAGCTTTCGCCGCAGGTGGAGCATCGGCCCTTTACGACGGAGGAGGACGAGACCATCATACGAGCTCACGCCCAATTCGGCAACAAATGGGCCACCATCGCTCGTCTCCTCAACGGCCGTACCGACAACGCCGTCAAGAACCACTGGAACTCCACTCTCAAGCGTAAATCTGTCTTCTCCCGTGGTGTCGGAGGGTATAATGGTAATTTCGTTGCCGAAGACGGGCCACCGCTGAAGAGATCGGCCAGCGCCGGTTCCGGAGGTTGTGCGCCGGTGCCCACCGGGTTGTACATGAGCCCTGGCAGCCCGACGGGATCTGACGTCAGCGACTCCAGCACGGTTCCCGATTTACTCTCCGCCCCTGCCCACGTGTTCAAGCCCGTGGCGCGAACCGGCGTCGTCGCGTTGCCTCTGGAGGAGAAGTCGGCGTCCTCCGGCGATGACCCACCAACGTCACTGAGCCTGTCGCTTCCCGGAGCTGACGTCAGCGAGGTGTCTTACCGTAGTCATGCGTCGACGAACACGAACAACGCCACCACTTCGAGCCACAATACGCTGCCGGTTCTATCGCTGGAGAATAAAAACGAGGGTAGAATCAATGGTAATGGAAAAGCTTTCGGCGGATTGAGTGCCGAATTCATGGCGGTGGTGCAGGAGATGATAAAGGAGGAGGTTAGGAATTGCATGGCGGAGCTGCACAGAAACGATGGAGGATTCGGTGGTTTGTGTGATTCCGGCAATGGCGGATTCAGGGATAGTGGTATTGTTCATCAGATCGGAGTTGGAAGGATCAAGTAGGATGTAAGAATAACAGGACCGTACCGTGTTCGTACCTCTGAACATTTGATCAAGAGTGGGAGACAAAACTGCTGAGTTTCTCATTGAGAAGTTTTCGGTTAAATGTACAGAAAAAATCTCGAGATTATTATGTCTGGAGACAATTTTAATTCCATAATTCGTATATATAGGGCGTATACTTTGGTTGGGGCCGGAAATTCGAACACATGAATGGAATCCTAATAACATTATCAGATCTCACATAATATTGGAAGTTAAGGAAGAAGATCGGACGTTTACCAAAAAAAAAGGGGGAAGAAGATCGGACAGAATCACAACAATATTTTCGGAACATTAGATCTATGGGGGAAGATTTGTGCTTGGCGGCAAGAGGAACAGCCTTGAGGCACGGCCAGACTGGCCAGTCCCTTTCCCTCGGACATGTCAATCGCCACGTCATCACTGTTCAAAGAAACGACTCAATGACCCCCAAAGCCAAAACCCAGTGTGAGTTGGGCCGGGCCCATCTCCATTCGGTTTAAAGCCCCTCTGACTTTTCCCAACGCTCCGGATCTCCAAGTTTCGCCCACGCGTTGACTAATAGAATCGTGCCACGTGGAATATCGTACCTTTCGGTCGTACCCTATACGTATGCCTATCGGACCGCATGTTGGAACATGGAATCGGGGGGCATTTCATCTTAGCGAAAATCTCAAAAAATACCTTATCAATTTTCACAAACTAAAAAGTGAACTTTTCTTATTAAATAAAATTTCAATTTTTTTTTTTTTAAAAATTAATCAGAATAGGTGGCAAATGCGAAGGAACAAGTGATCTGATCCGTAAAGGCCATAATTGAGAATTGTTTGATAGTCTTTCTCAAGGTAAAAAATAATCTACATTTATAACATTTAAACTCACCATTGTATCGGTATCTGAATATGTGAATAATGGTACATCAAATATCATTAAAATATTGATTTATTATATAAAAATCATGTCAGTAATAACTATTTAAAAATGATAACAATTATAAAAATTCAGATTTATCTTTTAAAAAAATAAAATTAGGACTTTATTTGATAAAAAATAAAGATTTTATTTTATAAAGATTGATAAATTCAGGTATTTTTTAATATTTTTTTTCATACTATGGACCAATGATATTAACTATCTCATTAAAACAGATAGAAATAATCCATTTGAGAAAACAAAATATAAGGATTGGATGGAGGGAATGGTGTTTAGGTTTTTGGGTTTTTAAAATTTAGAAACCAAACAAATTGAAAAGCCATTTTGATTAAAAAAAACTGGAGATTAAAAAACTTCACTTTTTTTTTTTATTTGCAAAAATCAAAAACCAAAAACAAAATCTAAAAACCAAAAATAAAAACTAAACCGAAAACTCAAAATAAAAATTACTAATATTTAAAGAATTTATTTTGAGTTTTTAACTTTATTTTTTTTTGTTAATTAGGAAGTTCACCAAGTTTTCGACCCGAATACATCTTCCACGATCCGAGAGTAATCTAAAGCGTATCTAACCACGCCTCATCCTCCACCCCGTGGCTCGAGTATGAGACCTGGAGTTGGCCTCACACCCTCTCAAACCAGCTACACCACATTGGCGACGACTTTATGGAAGGGACGAAATTATATACACCCTTCCCTCCCCAACAGCTGGATTCGAATTGGCAACCAAAAGATGATTTTGTCATCTACTCGCCCACTATTTACTGGGTTTTTTACTTTAATTTTTTATTTTTGATTTTAACTTTTCCTTTTTTGGTATTTGTAATTTTTATAGTTTTAAAAAAATTTAATTGGTAAAAATAATATTTTAATTTTTTGGTTCTAGATTTTATATTTAAAATTAGTTTCTAATATTAATACAAAAATCATATTTTTTAATATTAATAATAACAATAATAAAAATTCAACATTGACAATCTCATAATATTGTTACAATTTCATCTGAATTCTCTCCATATATCTATATATAAATATATACACTATATTTATACTATTTATATATATATATACATATATTATATATACTATTAAAATATTTATATACACATATATATTTATATTAGTATGTATATCTATGTATATGCATAGGTAAATTGTTAATTTATTTTTAAAATAAGAAGTATTTTTATTTTTAGAATAATTTGTATAACTATTTAAAAAAATAAAAAAAAATTAATAACAAATCAGATCTGTTTACACTAAAATCTATGAAAAATAGTTTACTGATTATTTTAAAAAATAATATAAAATCTTTACAGCAGATTTTCTGAAATTATTAACTAACAAGAAAATCATAACAGAAAAAAAAGGAACAGATTCCTCGAGGACCTGTTTTCCTTGGGCGCTTCATATTCCCGGAGCACCGTCCACCGCCGTGGCTGCTGCCTTGGGCGAATTCTCCGTTCGGATAAACCATCGTGGCGTGTGGTCTTCCTTTTCCTCTTTCTCTGTTTGGTTTTTTTTGTCTACTGGTCTGGTCGTTGAAAGCGGAACTTGACGATAATGGCTTCACTCACCTCCGTCGAATTGAATTATCTCGTGTTCCGATACCTTCAAGAGTCAGGTTCGATATGCTCTTCGGGTTTCTCCGTTTCGTTTTGTTCCATGCTCGTGAAATTTCTGTGCATTTATATTGCCTTTCCCGATTTTGAATATTTTTTTTTTGGTTGTACCGGAGAAACTACTCCTGGGTTTTCTATGAAGTCATTTTAGGGTTTCAGTTGGGCATGATACGTGCCTTACTCGCCGAATTGCAAACTCGAGTTGTAGAAATGGAATGTCTTAAGGGTGCATGAGCCTCTGGATCTTTGTAATTCGTATGTCTACTCGGGAACTCTAGGGTTTGTCTTAACGTTCGGTTTTATTATTCCCATCTCGAGGTTTGATGGCTTGATGATACTGGGATGCTCTATCTCACCAGTTTCGAGCTATTGTTGTAATCGAACGTTTACGTGGTTTTGAGTCTTTGTACATGTGCGTTCTGTTTTTGCGAAATGCAAAATCCTAAAATGTGTAAGATAAGTTTATGAGAAAAGCCCCCTATAGGTTTGAGTATGTGTTCTTAAAACTCTATATGAAATCGCCTTCTGAGTATTTTCCACAGTTAGTTTAGTTCTTTTCCTAGAACTGTGTGTTGGATTATGGAACAAGTTGGTTTCAGATGGGAATGGGATGTCGTCACAAAGGATTCTGGTTGAACCTTAACGTTCTCGTAATTCTGTCCTCATTCTGCAGGTTTCACACACTCTGCATTTGTTCTAGGTTACGAGGCAGGGATAAATAAGTGCAACATTGATGGGAATATGGCACCGCCCGGTGCTCTGATCAAATTTGTTCAAAAAGGACTGCAGTACCTGGAGATGGAAGCAAATCTGTGCAACGTTAGTATACTTGTCATGGAGCAGGTCTTTTCTGTCTCTTACAGTGATGCTATCTAAGTTATTGTCTATTATACTTCCGCAGAGTGATGCTGAAATGGAAGAGGACTTCTCGTTCTTTCAACCCTTGGATTTGATCACAAAGGATGTAAGTGAATTGCAGCAAATGCTGAGGGGTAGAAAGAGAAAAGATAGGGATAGAGATAAAGACAGGGAAAAAGAAAGAGAAAGAGAAAAAGATAAAGATAAGGAGCCCGAAGGAGAACACGAAAGAGAGCGTAGCCGAGTAAAAGAGAAGGATAGGTATGAGAAGCAGAAGGAGCGAGAAAGGGAAAGA